TGAACCAGTGGATGGAAGATCTCTCTTTCTCTGTCTCTCCCTCTCTCTAGCTCTTTCAAATAAGTAAATAAATATATTTTTTAAAAGACTCCGGTGGGGGTGAATATTGTGGCACAGAGTTAGGCTGCCACTTGGGATGCCCTTATTGGAGTACCCAGGATTGAGGAAGTGAATCCTGCCTCTGTTTCCGATCCAGCCTCCTGCTAATGCGCCTGGCAGGTAGCAGATGGTCGCCCAGGTCTTTGACTTCCTGCCACCCATTGGTGGAATTCCTGGCTTCTAGCTTTGGCCTAGCAGAGCCCTGGATGTTGTGGGCATTTGCGGGGGGGGGGGGTGTGAATCAGCAGATGGAAGCTTCACCCCCCTCTTCTGTCCCTTTCTCTGTTACTCTACTTTTCAGATAAATAAGTCTTTTTAAAAAAGACTCCAACAAAACAAAACAGGGGGCTGTAGGAAAGGCAAGATTGGGAAAGTGTTGTGACTGATGCTGGGCGTGGGTATGGAGGGGTTCTTTATTTCATCATCACTACTCCTGTGTATGTTTTGATATTTTCCTGAGAGCTTTACACTATAATTGTCAGTTTCCCACTGGTTTGGGAACCCGTGGGTACTGGGCAGATTAACTTGATTTGGGAAACAATGATGTTATTTAGACTTGGTGAGATGCTTCAAACAGATCTGGACTCCAGTTCTGAAACTTTGGTGGCAGCTTTGCTAAGAGACAGCAAGGAGAGGAGCTGTCATAACAGAATGGGAGCTGCCCACCATGTGCCAGGCACCACTGCAGGGCAGAGAGCTTCCGCGGACCCCTGCAAGCACCCTGCCTCCCACCCTGCACGCTCTGTCAGGCTGGCTTCCCTGCAGCTCACAGGGCCCTGCCAGCTGCTCTCCAGGTCTCCCTGGAGGTCGTTCCTCCCTTGTAACATGGTCAGAGTTAGCACAAAACAAGAAGCAAGACCAAGTTCCCATTCAAGGGTTCACTCCCCAAGTGCCTGCAATGACCAGGGCTGGGCCAGGCTGAAGTGGAAACTCAATCCAGGGCTCCCCCATGGGCGGCAGGAACCCCTGTGGGCCATTACTGCTGCCTCTGAGTGCACATTAGTAGAAAGGTGGAATTTAGCCGGTGCCGCGGCTCAATAGGCTAGTCCTCCGCCTTGCGGCGCCGGCACACTGGGTTCTAGTCCCAGTTGGGGCACCGGATTCTGTCCCGGTTACCCATCTTCCAGGCCAGCTCTCTGCTGTGGCCAGGGAGTGCAGTGGAGGATGGCTCAAGTTCTTAGGCCCTGCACCCCATGGGAGACCAGGAGAAGCACCTGGCTCCTGCCTTCGGATCAGCGCGGTGCGCCGGCCGTGGCGGCCATTGGAGGGTGAACCAACGGCAAAGGAAGACCTTTCTCTCTGTCTCTCTCTCTCACTGTCCACTCTGCCTGTCAAAAAAATAAAATAAAAAAAAGGCTGGAATTGGGGGGCAGCATCCGGGACTTGAACCCAGACACGCTGGTATGGGATGTGGGCATCTTAATCACTAATCTTAATCTTAATCACCAAAGGTCCAACTCAAAATAGACTCTGAACTTGAGACAGACAATGGTGATTCTTGGAGCTCCTCCAGGAACACCTTCCTTCCAGGGACGGCGCCTTGCTTGTGTGGATGCCTGCGTGATTGGTCCTGGAGACCCCGTACCAGTGTCTAAAACCCAGCAGTTTTCTCCCTCTGTGGACTCAGCAACTGGGTGGCAGGGGCCACATCTTTTTTTTAATATAGATTTATTTCATTGATTTGAAAGGCAGAGTTAGAGAGAGGGGCAGACAGAGAGAAAGGAAGAGAGAGTCTTCCATCTGCTGGCTCACTTTCCAAATGGCCACAATGGTCAGAGCTGAGTCAGTGAAGTCAGGAGCCAGGAGCCCCATCTGGGTCCAAGCACTTAGGCCATCTCCTGCTGCCTTCCCAGGCACATTAGTAGGAAGCTGGATTAGAAGTGGAGCAGCTGGGACTCAAACCAGTGCTCTGATACAGGATGCTGGCATCACAGGTGGCGGCTTAACCCACTGCGGCACACCAGCCCAGAGGTGCGGCGTCTCGTATGCCTGTGCTCCCCTGGGTGCCTGGTGACAGCGCTGCCCCAACAGATACTCCCTGGGTAAGCAGAGGGGCTGCTCCGAGCGGTGGGAAGCCAGCCCCAGTGCCCGCCCTGCCGCAGGATGGTAATATTTCAGCGCTGACGGGGACCTCCTGAGGACTGCAGAGGGACCCCGGGGACAAGCAGCTCAGCGGCAACTGTGCACAGGATCCCGGGGCGAGAGAGGAGAGCACACAGAGCTGCCTCCCCTGCCTCCTTTTCCCCTCCGACCGCCTCCTCCCTCTGACGGGGCGTTCCCCACCCTGACTTACAGGACACTGACCTCGGGCAAGTCTCACGAAGTCCCCTTCTGTGTGGACAGAACACATGAGTGCTGAAAATTCAGTTTTGCACTCATTCACTTAGGGCTGATGGCAATGTCAAGCTTTGGCTAAAATTCGTTCTTTGAGGAGTAGGGTGTTAAATACGGACCGGAGAGAGCGCCGGCTCTGAGGACGCTGCTCGGATGCAAGCCCCCGCGTCCCCGGTCACACCAGTCCCCTCCTCGTGCTCAGTCCCGTGTAAGGCACCGAGCAGCAGGTGCTCGGGAGATGCTGGAGTCAGGAACCCGGCCGGCACCTGGTGAGCGAGGCCGACGCCGTGCTTGTGCCCTCACAGTTGAGTGGATGCGGTGGCAAACATTTTAAATTTTGAACTTATTTATTCATTTATTTATTTGAAAGGCCGAGAGAAGAGAGAGAAAGCGATCATCCCCCCCTTGGGGCGGCAGGCACCCAAGCACTTGAGCCACCCCCGCTGCCTCCCAGGGTGCACACTCGCAGGAAGCTGGACCCCGAAGTGGGGCCAAGCCTTGAATGCAGACACTGTGATGTGGGATGCGGCCCTTAACCACGGCATCAAAAACCTGCCCCCGTGGTGAAAACTTAGAGCAAGAGGCCTTTGAGAACCGTGCTGACGGCAGGTGAATGGGCTGCCTGTGACCTCCAGACAGAAATGGGAAAGGAGCCCATTTCCTAACACGGCAGCTTCCAGCTCCCAGAGACACGAAGCAGAAAGGCTGGTAATGAAGACAGGCACAGTGGCCCAGGGCCACTTCCTGCCACTCTGGTCAGATCCTCACCCGTCCACAAAAGAGAAAGATTAACCAGTCATCCCTACACCCTCATTACCAAGGATGGCCCACTTCTTTTTTTTTCTTTTAAGAGTTCAGCTAATGGTATTAAGTAGAAAAAGAAAATAGTAAAAAAAATAATAAGCTGTTCCTCCAGTCAGGACAAGAGCTGATCAAGTCATCGCTTCCCGCAGTGTCCATTTCACTTCTACAGCTTACTTTTAGGTGCTCGGTTGTCACAGATCAGGGAAAACACATGGTATTTGTCCCTTTGGGCTGGCTTATTTCACTCAGTGTGCTGTTTTCCAGATTCCTCCATTTTGTTGCAAATGATAGGATTTCATTTTTTTTTTTTTACTGCTGTGTAGTATTCCGTAGAGTACATATCCCATAGTTTCTTCATCCAGCCTTCCGTGACAGGCATTCAGGTTGATTCCACGTCGTAGCTACTGTGAACGGAGCTGCAGTACACAAGGAGGTGCAGAGAGCTCTTCTATTTGCTGATTTCATCTCCCGTGAGAGCCCACTGCTAACAGCTTTGCTGCTCACACACCGTGTGCCGTCTGTCCATCACAGAGATGGTGCCAGTCAGAGTTCGCTGCAAGTCCACTTGCTGCCTTCAGATCATACAGTGCCAGGCACGGCACCCCCAAACATCCGCTTCCAACAGACACCAGCACCACGCACTTCTTGAGCTGAGTTCACAATACGAAAGCGAATTATGACAATGGCGTGTTTTCTTCTCCATCCTTACACAAGTCACAACAGTCATGTATCACTCTAAGTGTCTCATTCTACAAACCATTTTCCAAAGAGGAAGCTGCGGGTCATGGAGACCCCCAGAGCTAAGTGACGATTACCTGCGGCACTGGCAGCACGGCCAGCGGTGGGGTCTGTGCACCAGGCTGTAGACACAAGAGTGTAACAACAGTGCCACAGCAGTCAGTCCCCAGAGAACAGGTCTCCTGGGAGGGTCCTCACCTGTCTCGCCCAGTGGAGGCTGAGCAGGGCACCGGCATTTGGAACAGGACAGCACTGTCATGTGACAGACGGCATGGGGGCCCTAACACAGGTCACACAACAGGCCAGGTATAGGTGACAGCACTGCGGCCCTAATACAGGTCACACGACACGCCAGGTGTAGATGACAGCACTGCGGCCCTAATACAGGTCACACGACATGTCAGGTGTAGGTGACAGAAGCACTGGGTCCCTAACACAGGTCACATAACATGCCAGATGTAGATGACAGCATGGGAGCCCTAACACAGGTCACACGACAGGCCAGGTGTAGATGACAGCACTGCGGCCCTAATACAGGTCACACAACATGTCAGGTGTAGGTGACGGCACAGGGGCCCTAATACAGGTCACACGACAGGCCAGGTGTAGGTGACAGACAGCACTGGGGCCCTAATACAGGTCACACAACAGGCCAGGTGTAGGTGACAGACAGCACAGGGGCCCTAATACAGGTCACACAACAGGCCAGGTGTAGGTGACAGATGCACTGCGGCCCTAACACAGGTCACACACACCCAGGTGTAGGTGACAGGCAGCACAGGGGCCCTAACACAGGTCACACAACAGGCCAGGTGTAGTTTTCCGGAGGATATCCAGGTTCCATCTGATAGCTTCCCCTGCGCCTGATCGTAGACTCCAAAAAGTGAAGGAGGAAGAATCCCCGTTTCTGTGAGCCGAGCTCTACCTTTGCATCCACTCAGTGAAACAGGTGCAGTGACGCCTACTGCGTGCCAGGCTTTGAGAGTCGGCCGGAGGCTTCAGAGAGAATTAGAAGCTAGAGAAAACACATTTGTCAATTTTATTTAACGTCTTCCTTGACCATATTCTAGATTCAGATCCGCTTATCCAACTGTGTAATTACAAGGAGCTTTTTCTTCTGTAGTTACAAACGCATCAAGTGCAGTGGTGTAGGTGGGAAATATAAATTGCAAAAAGGTGAAAGTTATATTTTCATTGGAAACCCAACTTTAGTGCTGTTTCTATCACAGAATGATCTTTGCAAACTAGAAGACTATTCTGTAGGGAATTATCTTCTTTTACCACTGTGTGGTGGCAAATTTCTATGCAAGTCTAACCAGCAGCCAGTCATGTAACGAGCTTGTGTTTTTAATAGAAAGCTATGACTTCCATTATCTGAGTGTTCTGCTTTGGGAAACGTCACTAAAGAGGACAGGAAGGAAACCGCGTAGGCCACCAGAGCCTCCCCCGCTGAGAGCCACGCGGGGCGGCACAGTGCGTGGAGCAGCCAGGCAGGGAGCTCTAGAACCGGAGCTTTCCACGGAGCACGGCACCCATCAGTTCCCACAATTCTGGGCTGCAGGAAACCGGGCCGGCCCAGCGCGCTCTTCCTCATGTCCTCTGGCTTCCCACCCATCTTGACTTTTAAGCTATCAATGAAGACCAAGAGCATTCTAACTTGTACCATCCTGAAATGGGACCGCTCATGCCCTGTGCTTTCCTCACTCAAGGCAGTGTGATGTCTGTGACGTCACCTCGAGCAGCCCCGCCCTGACCCCGACCCACAGCACCGCGGTGCTGGGCAGCAGCTGTCCACCTCAGGTGGGCATCAGAAATGTCCTTCCAGACATTCCAGGGCTTGGACCTCACTCCCTGCCTCCAAGGGTGGAGCTCCAGGCAGGCAGTCATCCTGGTGTGTCCCAGAGGGAACCGACCACTGCTGTAGTGTCTGCCAGCGCTGGCGCAAGCTTCACTTTGTAGCCGGGACGACCAACAGCGGCACATCTTACGAGATCACCAACTTAAGAATCGCTTCCTAGGGCGAACGCTTAAGAAGCCTGTGTGTCCGGACCTGAGTCCTGGCTCCTGACTCCGGCCTCCTGCTAATGCAGAGGGAAATGCAGCAGTGACGGCTCAGGTGACGGGTCCCTGCCACCCACGTGGGAGACGTGGATCGGGTTCTTGCCTCCTGGTTCAGCTACAGCCTCGCCCTGCCGTTGTGGGCACTCGTGGAGTGAACCAGTGGATGGGAGCTGTCTATCTGTGTTTCTGTCTTTCAGGAATACCTAACAGCATCGGTTCCCTTCACCGCCACGGCAGGGCCTGTGCTTCTCCTGGGAAGCAGAGCTGGGTTCCATGCCACTCGTCTGTAGTTACACTGAAAACCCTCCTGACTTTAGGGGGCTGCTAGTCCTTGTTTTAAAGGGGACTTGTACAGTCTTAAACAGTAAAGGCCACATGAAAACATTCACTGCCGGAGCCGCGGCTCACTAGGCTAATCCTCCGCCTTGCAGCGCAGGCACACCTGGTTCTAGTCCCGGTCGGGGCGCCGGATTCTGTCCTGGTTGCCCCTCTTCCAGGTCAGCTCTCTGCTATGGCCCGGGAGTGCAGTGGAGGATGGCCCAAGTGCTTGGGCCCTGCACCCCATGGGAGACCAGGAGAAGCACCTGGCTCCTGCCATCGGATCAGTGTGGTGCGCCGGCCGCGGCGGCCATTGGAGGGTGAACCAACGGCAAGGGAAGACCTTTCTCTCTGTCTCTCTCTCTCACTGTCCACTTTGGCTGTCAAAAAACAAACAAACAAAAAAACAAAAACATTCACCTCAGCTACTTCTGATAAAAGGGGAAAATAGGACTTTAGTGCACTCCTGGTTTTCACTAAATTTCTACCTTACGAAACGGGACTGCAGTTCCGCCCCCCCAGTCACTAACACGCAGATCGTCCCGATCCCTGAAGGAAGGGGGGCGCCCCCGCAGTGTTTCTCTGCAGAGGCGCCAGGACGACCCCCACGTTCCTGTCTTCGCTCTCCGAGCTGTACAAATCGTGCCTTTCAATATATTCCCGGACGAGGTCCGGCACCAAGTAGCGGATGCTCTGGCCCCTCCGGAGCGCCCTCCGGATCTTCGTGGACGAGATGTCGTTGGGGATCCACTCGTTCACCAGGTCAATGTTGCTCCGGTGCTTCCACAGCACGTCGGACTCATAGATGAACTTCTGGGCGTCGTTCCCCGCCCGGGTAACGCAGACGAGCCCGTAGTCGGCCACAATGTGGGCGATGTCCTCACTCTTCCACAGATTGGGGACACCGAAGGACTCCAGCAAGTCTGCCCCGCACAGCAGCTTCACCTTTGGCACACCTGGGGAGAGGGAAACAGCCCTCAGCACCTGCTTTGTTCTTCAGAGATTTATTCGAAAGGCGGAGCATCAGCAGGATGGGAGGGTGTGGTGGGGAGACCTTCCAGCCACTGTTCACTTCCCACATGGCCACAACAGCTAGGGCTGGGCTAAAGCCAGGGCCAGGACCCCCACCTGGGTCTCCCACACGGGTGGCAGGCGTCCAAGCACTTGGGCCATCCTTGCTTCCTTACAGGCGTGTTCGCAGGAAGCTGGACTGGAAGCAGAGCAGCCAGGCCTTGAACCAGCGCCCATATGGGATGCCAGCTAACAAGGGTGGCTTAGCCCACTGTGCCACAGTGCTGGCCCAGGGTGGGCTCTTCTAACCACCCCTGCATCAAAATATGCGTGTGCGTGCGTGTGTGCTAGGGAAGAAGACGTGCACTTTTTATCAGATTCACACTCCCAAAGGGAATCCGTGATTAACTCAGAAGGACCACTGCGGGAGAAACAAGTTTGGGGCACAAGGGGAGTCTTTCAGGCACCCCCCGGAAAGAAACTTGAACTGGAAAAGCCCAAAGGGGCTGGCCCAGCTCCAGAGCCCTACCAACTCCAGTTCGGGAATCCTGGTAAAACAGGCCAACCTTCTGTTTTCGGCTCCAGGGGTTTCTTCTGCCTGGAGTCTGGTCTCTGGTCCGCCCACTTCCTCTTCCGCCCAGGCCTCTCCGGCACAGGGGAGCTCTGCTGCTGACCGCAGTGGCTGGCCGCCAGCTTCTCTCGATGGTGCCTGTAAAACACCAGACCCGCTCCTGCTTCTCACAGCGCTCCTCGGCGCTGCTGGCCCTCAGGAGATGCTAAGAGCCTCTGCCCCAGGTTTAAGCAGGTTTAAGAAATGTTCAACCACACGAGTCCAAACAGTCGGAACGGCCACTCGTGGGAGAGCTCAGCACTATCCGGAACGGAGAGGAAGGAGAATCCTGAGAGGTGGTGGCTCCCATTATCCGACGCCCTGGGCGCCTGCCATATCAATCCTAACAACAGAGTTGTGTTTATTAACATGCCACATACCACACTAAGTTCTTTAGGTGGATTATCTCATTAAATCTTCTCATCAATATTATCATCCCCGTAATGGAGGGGAGTGGGTGCTGGAGTTGCAACCCCAGCTCCAAGCAGAGCCTCTGCAACACAGGAGGCAGCAGTCACCATTTGTTATTGTGACTGCTGATGACAAAGCAGCCACACGGGCCAGTGCTGTGCAGCCGGTTAGGCTCCTGCTTGTAACGCCAGCTTCCCACATCGGAGAGCAGGTCTGAGTCCTGGCTGCTCTGCTTCCAATCCAGCTTCCTGCTCACGCACCTGGGAAGGCAATGCAGGATGGCCCAAGTGCTTGCATACTTGCCACCCATCCTGGCTCTTGGCTTTGGCCTGTCCCAAATCTGGCTGTTGCAGCCATTTGGGGAGTGAACCAGTAGACGGAGGATCTGTTTCTCCCTCTCTGTCATTTTACCTTTCAAATAAAACAAAATAATAATGATAATAATAAAAAAGGGCTGGCATTGTGCTACAGCAGGTTAAGCCACTGCCTGCAATGCTGGCATCCCTTATGGACACTGGTTCAAGTTCTGGCTGCTCCACTTCCAATCCAGCTCCCTGCTAATGCACATGGGAAGGCAGCGGAAGATGGCCCAAGACTTTGGGTCTCTGTACCCATGTGAGAAACCTGGGTGGAGTCCCAGCTTCCTGGTTTTGGCCTGTCCCAGACCCAGCCTTTGTGGCCATGTGGGAAGTGAACCAGTGGATAGAAGATCTCTCTCTGTGTCTTTCCCTCTCCCTCTGTAACCTTTCAAACAAATACATACATTTTTAAAAATATTTATTTATTTGAAAATTCAGAGTTATACAGAGAGAAGAGAGGCAGAGAGAGACAAGGGTCTTCCATCTGCTGGTTCACTCCCCAATTGGCCGCAACAGTCAGAGCTGCGCTGATCCAAAGCCAGGAGCCAGGAGCTTCTTCTGGGTCTCCCACTCTGGTGCAGGGGCCCAAGGACTTGGGCCATCTTCCACTGCTTTCCCAGGCATAGCAGAGAGCTGGATCAGAAGTGGAGCAGCCGGGACTCAAACCGGCACCCATATGGGATGCTGGCACTGTAGGTGGCTGCTTTACCTGCTATGCCACAGCTCTGGCACCAAATACATAAATCTGGAAAAAAAAGAAAACTTAAAAAAAAAAAAGACTCAATGATGACTGACAACTGAAAAAGAAAAGAAATAACGCAGCTACATCACTGCCAGCTTTATCGCAGAATTGCTTCCTATCCCTGCTGAGAGAGGAGGACACTGACTAAATTGCATAGGTCACTTAGCTTAGCAGGGGCAGGGCCAGGACTTGAACCTCAGCAGTCTGGTCCTCGGCCCACACTGCTGACCACTGACGAGCGTGCTGACCCAGTGACAAAGAACCACAATAGCAAGGAGGGCCCAGAGGCCCACAACGGAGGGACAAAGGGCAGGAGTCGTGCAGGATGCCCACTGCTCTAACCTGGGCAGCACCACCCACGTGACATGAGCTACACTTGTTGGGGCCAACTGTGGGCCCTCTGTGCCCTCAGTCCCTTCTCTGCTGAAGAGCAGGGGTGAACGTGTCCTGGACGTGGACACTATGGACCCTCAGAGACTTGGGCAAGACTGGGGCCCAGCAAGCTGATCTCTTTTGTAACGATGAGTAGGAGAAATTCTGCTCCCTGCCCAGCCTGAAAAGTCAGTCCTCTTGGCAAGTCACTACGCCACCTGCGCTCCAGGTTCAGTAGGTCGTCCAGCCCTAAACACGCTTCCCAGCAGTCCTCCGGGTGGACCCTGGATGGGACCGAGATTGTGTTGGTGAGTTCCCTTGTGAGAGGTAAGGGAGGCCACTCTGCTGCTGAGACCCTGGGGGCCAGACCCCACAGTCACTGTCAACCACCTTTGGACTCTGAGCTAACAGCAGCAGAAGCAGAGTCAGGTTCCTGAACTCCAAGAACAGCTAAGAATCGTGACCCTGAATTTCCCCAGCTTCCACGTCTGCACTTTAACACTTCTTCTTCCTTTTTTTTTTTTTTTTTTGACAGGCAGAGTGCACAGTGAGAGAGAGAGAGACAGAGAGAAAGGTCTTCCTTTGCCGTTGGTTCACCCTCCAATGGCTGCCGCGGCCGGCGCGCTGCGGCCGGCTCACAGCACTGATCCGAAGGCAGGAGCCAGGTGCTTCTCCTGGTCTCCCATGGGGTGCAGGGCCCAAGCACTTGGGCCATCCTCCACTGCACTCCCAGGCCACAGCAGAGAGCTGGACTGGAAGAGGAGAAACCGGGGCAGAATCCGGCGCTCCAACCAGGACTAGAACCCGGGGTGCCAGCACCGCAGGCAGAGGATTAGCCTAGTGAGCTGCAGCGCCAGCCACGTCCTCTGTTTTCTAACAGACACACCCCACAGCAGACATTCCAGCCTCACAAAACATGAGGAGAGACACGGAGGCCATGGACACCTGGTTGGCCGCTGTGCTCGGCATTCTAGGACTTCACCCCGGAGCGGCACAGCCGACGCCCTCCAACCCTAGCGACGGTCTTGTGAGTCTGTGCGTTCATGCGAGCCGCACTGAAGCCTGGAGGAAAACCCAGGAGCTCCCCAGGCCCTCCCACAGCGGGCAGAGCCGGCTTCCCTGTACGTGCCTTAGCACCTTCACGGTCTCCACCCACTCCTTCTGAAGGCTCTCCCAGGTATCGACTTCCACCCATTCTGAGTGCTTGGTGGCCAGCTCTGCCATGACAACTCGGTGGTGGGCAGGGATGAGTCCTTTCTTCTTATATGCGTCGCCCACCGGAGAAATGATGCCTTTGACAACATTATATTTTCCTGGATAACAAGTCAGATTTGATATTAGGCATAACAAGTTAGATTTTATGCACAGGAAATGTTATGATCAACATTGTTTTATAATCACAAATCATTTCTTTAAAATGAGGATTCAGACTTACTGATTACTTGAAGTTTTGAGATATATATATATATATATATATATGCCATAAAATTGGCCATTTTTGGGTATTTGGTGCACACACACACACACTGTGGCATGCATCTCCAGGACTTTTCACCTCTCCAACAGAGACTGCACCATGCTCCGGTGTGGACAGGACTCAGCTTTAGACCCCAAAACCATGGGCTGATTCAGATGCCGGGTCTGACTCAGTTATGGTGGTCAGAGGTGGGCCTAGAGGGAGGCCCCTGGCAGGCAGGTCTCATGAGATGACAAAAGCTGAGTGGGAGGGGCCGGCCGGCACCATGGGGTAGCGGGTTAGGCCTCTACCTATGCCGGCATCCCATGTAGACACCGGGTCAAGTCCCAGCTACTCCTCTTCTGATCCAGCTCTCTGTTCATGGCCTGGGTGCTTGGGCCCCTGCACCCATGTGGGAGACCCAGAAGAAGCTCCTGGCTCCTGGCTTCAGCCTGGCCCATCCCAAGTCATTACAGCCATTTGGGGAGTGAACCAGTGGATAGAAGCTCTCTCTCTGTCTCCCCTTCTCTCTCTCTGTAACTCTGCTTTTCAAAATAAATAAATAAGACTTTTTTTAAGATTTATTTTTTATTTATTCAAAAGGCAGAGTTACAGAGAGGAAGGGACAGAGATCAGCCATCCGCTGGTTCAGTCCCCAAATGGCCACAACGGTCAGGGCTGTGTCAGGATGAAGCCAGGAGCTCGGAGCTTCTTCCGGGTCTCCCACGTGGGTGCAAGGGCCCAAAGATGTGGGCCATCCTCCAATGCTGCTTTCCCAGGTACATCAGCAGGGAGCTGGAAGTAGAGTAGCCAGTTCTTGACTGGGTGCCCATATTGGATGCCAGCACTGTAGGCGGCAGCTTAACCAGGTACGCCACAGTGCCAGCCCCTAAATAAAACCTAAAAAAAAGTACTTGGGTCCCTGCCACCCATATGGGAAACTTGGATTGAATCCAGGCTCCTGGCTTCAGTTTGGCACAGACCTGGCTGTTAGGAGCAAACTCTCTTTCTCTCTATGGTTCTACCTTTCAAATAAATAAAACTTAAAAAAACTTCTTTTGAGGATTGCTGCTAAATCTTTACTACTCCTTATACTGCACTCTAAATCGATAAAACTTTTCTTTTTTTTTTTTTTTTTTTATTTTTTTTTGACAGGCAGAGTGGACAGTGAGAGAGAGAGACAGAGAGAAAGGTCTTCCTTTTGCCGTTGGTTCACCCTCCAATGGCCGCCACGGCCGGCGCGCTGCGGCCGGCGCACCGCGCTGATCCGATGGCAGGAGCCAGGAGCCAGGTGCTTCTCCTGGTCTCCCATGGGGTGCAGGGCCCAAGCACTTGGGCCATCCTCCACTGCACTCCCTGGCCACAGCAGAGGGCTGGCCTGGAAGAGGGGCAACCGGGACAGAACCCGGTGTGCCGGCGCCGCTAGGCGGAGGATTAGCCTAGTGAGCCGCGGCACCGGCCACCTAAATCGATAAAACTTTAAAAAAAATTATTTATTTGAAAGGCAGAGTTAGAGAGAAAGGAGAGACAGAGAGACCTTTGATCTGCTGGTTCACTCCCCAAATGGCTGCAATGGCTAGTGCTGGAACAGGCTGAAGCCAGGAGCCAGGAGCTTCTTCCGGGTCTCCCACGTGGGTGCAGGGGCCCAAACACTTGGGCCATCCTCTGCTGCTTTCCAGGACAGATTAGCAGAGAGCTGTATTGGAAGTAGAACAGCTGGTGCAGGAACCAGCACCCATATGGCATGCTGGCACCACAGGCAGCAGTTTAACCTGTTAGGCCATGATGCTGGCCCCAATAAATATACATTTTTATTTCAATGGGCCATTAGCTGGATGCTTAGTCCTTCCTGGGGCACAGCTTACTCCTTTCACATCTGGGTGCCTGCACAGGGAAGTCAGGCTGTAGTTCTTTGCCCAGCTGATCAGATATGTATTTTGAAACCCACCTAGCCACAGAGGTCTCCAGCTTACACTGTTTTTGGTTACTGAGCCTACCTGTCCCACTCAGATAGTCCTTGGCCAGCTCAAACAATCTGAGGTGCATGTTGGTTATCGGATTAAAGGAGCCACAAGCAAGGAGAACCACTTCCGTCTTCTCTGAGTTGGCCATGGGAAGAACCTGAAGTTGTTGATCTAAATGGAAGACTCCAGAACCTCCTTTGTTGTCTACAAAAGAAAAGAAAACAAGTTTAGTTATAAAAGCTTTTTAAAATTTTTTTTCTTAATAAAGGATTTATTTTATTTATTTGAAAGGCATAGTGATGGAGAGAGAGAGAGACTGAGATCTTCCATCCACTGGTTTACTCTCCAAATGGCTACAACAGCCAGGGCTAGGCCAGACTGATGCCAGGAGCCTGAAAATCCATCCAGGTCTCTCACCTGAGTGGCAGGGGCCCGACCACTTATGTCATCCTCCACTGCGCTCCTAGGCACATTAGCAGGGAATTGAACTGGAGGCAGAACAGCTGGGACTCAAACCAGTGCCAGATGGAGTTCCCAGCTCCTGGCTTGGGCCTGGCCCAGCCTTGGCCGTTGTGGCCCTTTGGGGAGTGAACCAGTGGAGGGAAGACCTCTCTGTCTCTGTAACTCTGTTTTTCAAATAAATAAATAAACCTTGTTTCTTGCTTTTCTTCCCAATTCCTCCACAGCACATCCTCAAGAAGCTTCCTAAGAAAGGATGCAGGAAAGAAAGTCTGACTATGTCTTCATTCCTCCCTCAGTGAGAGAATCTTTTCAATTCAATAATTCCCAATAGTTTTTGAACTCATTTTCTCTTACAGTATAGAGGTGCTTCTTTGTTGTCTCCTGGCATTCTACACTACCGTGTAAGTCTGATGCCGTTTGATTCTTTCCCTTTGCACGTCACCTGGGTTTCCTCTCTGGAAGATGTGTAGAACATTCACTTCCCCTCAGCGCCCTGGACGGACACAGAGGTGTGCTCCAGTGCAGGCCTTCTGCACTCACGTGCCAGGCCCTCAGACAGCCTTTCCACCTCAAGCCAGATCGCTCGGTTCTGAACTGTCTCTTTGAAAAGGGCTCCATAAGTAAAACACTACTGCCATTATGAAGTTTTTAAGAATAAATATTCATATGTGAATGAATCATGTTTCAAAATAATCTTTTCGAGAATTTATAACAGCAGCAATACAATTCTGCTCAAAGTATATTAGAGAGTTCTGGAAGGAATTCTTTGTAGAGCTTGAAGGATTTTTATAATTATTGCAGAAATATAACAGATGACAATAATTAATGATTGTATGCTTCTTTTCAGCTTTTAAAATACATTATACATTCATACACATTATCTTTTTTTTTTTTTTTTGACAGGCAGAGTGGACGGTGACAGAGACAGAGAGAAAGGTCTTCCTTTTGCCGTTGGTTCACTCTCCAATGGCCACCACGACCGGCGCACTTGCTGATCCGAAGCCAGGAGCCAGGTGCTTCTCCTGGTCTCTCATGCGGTGCAGCGCCCAAGCACTTGGGCCATCCTCCACTGCACTCCCAGGCCACAGCAGAGAGCTGGCCTGGAAGAGGGGCAACTGGGACAGAATCAGGCACCCTGACCAGGACTAGAACCCGGTGTGCTGGTGCCACAAGGCGGAGGATTAGCCTAGTGAGCTGCGGCGCCGGCCACACATTATCATTTAATCCTTACCACAAAAAAAATTGACCAAAAGCATTCAACATGTTCCAATGATCTATATTATACTTAGATATTTAGATTTTCCTGTTAATCTTCTACCATTAAACATCTAACCTTTTCTAATTTTTCACTATTACCAACATCCCCCCCCCAAAAAAATAATGATTAAAAAGAATTGGAAACAAAGCTCGGAAGGCCAGCATCAAGGATCATGCATGGCCCAGCAGTTCTCGGCTCGCTTTAGCTCAGGTTTTGTGCTCTCAGTGGGCAAAGTTAGTGAGCAGCATAACCAGGGCCAGATTTTAGGTTTCCTTTTAAGCTCTCTCACCAAGAAGAAAAAGGGAGATACAGCGGGGCAGGACAGCCTGGGAAAGCACCTCCAGCTGAGGGGCTGATGAACGTGCACCTCAACACCTTATGGGGACTTCTGAAGGCTTCTGAGCAGTGGAGGGCCAGCAGGGTTCCAGCGAACGACGCGACGCGATGCTCAGCCCCCATCTGGTTGTGTCCCGACGCGATGCTTAGCCCCCATCTGGTTGTGTCCCGACGCGATGCTCAGCCCCCATCTGGTTGTGTCCCGACGCGATGCTTAGCCCCCATCTGGTTGTGTCCCGACGCGATGCTCAGCCCCCATCTGGTTGTGTCCCGACGCGATGCTTAGCCCCCATCTGGTTGTGTCCCGACGCGATGCTTAGCCCCCATCTGGTTGTGTCCCGACGCGATGCTCAGCCCCTATCTGGTTGTGTCCCGACGCGATGCTCAGCCCCTATCTGGTTGTGTCCCGACGCGATGCTCAGCCCCTATCTGGTTGTGTCCCGACGCGATGCTTAGCCCCTATCTGGTTGTGTCCCGACGCGATGCTTAGCCCCTATTTGGTTGTGTCCCGACGGGATGTTTAGCCCCTATTTGGTTATGTCCCTAGTTGCTTCAGCTGTAAAACAGGATCGTGACAGACCCCATCTCGCTGATGCTGAGGGACGACTCTGAGGACAGCGCACGGCACCGCCCCAGGTCTCTGCATTTGAGCATGGTGCTCCAAAGGGTGGCAGCTGCTCTCTGGGAGGAGGGTGACACCGATGACAGAGACGTCACAGGACTGACTGAATGGAACAAAGTGAGACCGGCAGGTGTCTGAGGCAGAGTACGGGGGATCACAGGGATACTGCCCATTGTTACGAGGGAACAAAGGAGAGGACAGGCCGTCATGTTCAGCACGGCACCAGGAAACGAGCAGGGAACAGCGATTCCAGTATCATACCTTGGGCTGTCATTCGTGTGGGGCTCATACCCCTGCCCGACTCACCTCTCCCGTCCCTACACCCCTCACCTCTGATTTCCATGCGAGGTACTTGTGGTGTTAGAGAGGTGGTGAATCCCACATCCCCACAGTACCTGGGGCCCTACAGGGAAATCAGGGCATCTGCCAGCCCCTGGGCATCCTCCCAAGGGCTGTGCTGGAGGGGCTGGGTCCCGCTGATGCTTGATGCCCGTCCTGACCCTGCCAGTCTCATGTTCTGGCACCATTCTCCAAGAGACTGAGATGGGAGAAGGTTAAGGCCGGTGAGGCCGAGCAAGAGATGCCAGGCCTGCAGGGAGCAGCTTGTGGTCCTGAAACAGAAACAGAGCTTTCAGCACCCCCGGCCTCAGGGATGATATCGGGTTTCCAGGTTATCCTCTGAGGGACGGGGACGGGACGGGGAAGCTGACCACTCAGCACAAAGGGAGCTGTCTCAGATAGCCAGCTCAGGTTCATGGATTCACTGTGAACACAGCCAGCTTGAGCTCAGACCAAACACTGAACCCTCAATGCCTCAGAGGAGTTAAGGTAGCAGCCGTGAGCTGCTGCAGCCCTGGGTGGGTTTACCAGAAGCAGGACCCAGCCCCACGCGAGCGGGAGCACTTCCTCTGCATCCTCGTTGGGGTGGGTGCGTGGGGAGGGGCCAGCAGTCACGAATGGGAGCAGGAGCCCGGGGGCTCCGACAGCACCGCTCGGATCTTCCCTGCCTCGCGCGGTGCTCCAGGACCAGTGCCCCCATGATTCACTTCTGCCTGGTCCACACTGCCTGTCACTTGCACTGCCGGCTGCCGAGATCTCACTGGCTCAGGCTGTAAGTGTCCCTCCCGTCCGTGCTCGTGGTGACCAAAGGGAGGTCAGGTCTTGACGTTAAACTAAAATGTACTTCTAAGTTTAAAATCGCTGATCTTTCAAGTTTTAAAAACACTGAGGTGTAAACATTAATATTTGGTAAACACTGAGCTAGTTTTTAAACATCAGCCTTTAAAAATAAAGATAATGGATTCTTGTGGCTTCCCTCACCGCATCTCAGGATGCTCCATTTAAGGACATCTATGCTGACTGTGGCTGTGGCTGTGACCATGGCTGTGTCTGTGACCATGACTGTGGCTGTGACCATGGCTGTGTCTGTGACCATGGCTGTGTCTGTGACCATGGCTGTGGCTGTGACCATGACTGTGGCTGTGACCATGGCTGTGGCTGTGACTGACTGTGGCTAACCAGCCCACCTCACCTCTAAGGGGATGCTGTCCCCTCCACCATAGCAACTTTAAGCTGTAGCTAACTCTATGCTTGTTCTAACGATGCTGACGTTGTTTTAAATACTCTTGAGCGTATATTTTGATATTATATATTCTTTTAAGTACCTTTATTGGGGATAAATCCTGGTCTTGCAGGGTATATCTGATTTCTACAAATACCTTAGTCGTTTAGTGCTAAACCCAATTAATAATCACAGTGAATAATAATAGTTTACAGTAAGGAAAAGAGAACTATTAGTCAATATGGAAGGTTTTCTTAAATGTCATGAAAACTATGTACATGTGAACTCAGGAAAACAAAAATTTCCATCGAGCAGCAAGCCACACTGGTTGTGTGAGCTGCAGGAGGTAGGTTAACTCTCGGTTTATTACACGAGACGCAAATCACCTGGCTGGAGGCAGAGCTGGCAGAGCCCAGGGGCATGGTTCAGACTCCCAGACCTGGGTTCAAATTCCAGCTGTACCACCTAGTTCCACCAGCTGTCTGTTCTTGGACAAGACACTTAAAACTCTCTGAGACTCAGTTTCCTTGTTTGTAAAATAAAGACCCACAGTCCCTACCTCACAGGATTTTGTGCATGTTAAATGAGACCATATAATCAACTATTAGCACATTTGCTCATGTATGCTAATAACCATTACTTGTGGGTTGTCTTACAGCTTATCTCACAGCCATGGTAAGGCAATCATCCTAGCGATTTCCCAGGGATCAGCGTCAACAATGCCTGCTACCTAGCAGGGGCTCAACAGAGGTAGCTAGTTGTCAGCACCCTCACTGAAGTATTACCAGACGTAACTCTGCCCTAAAAGGATGGACCTCAATTCATCTTTGCCAGGCTTAAAACTTTAGCTCCGCGGTTTAACGTCACATTATCACGAAACAGAAGCTGCATGAGTAGGAACAAGAATGTAACCCTGTGTCCCCTGCAGCCAGGTGACGGTGTTCTTGTTCGGGATCGCCACTCTGGCCCTCCAGTTCTACGTCCTGCTCAGGTGAGTTCCCACGCCCAGCAGCTTAGCATGCATGGCTTACCTGCGGAGGCTGTGACTCCTCTCACCTGTTTAACTGCAGCCTGCCCCATGGTTTCTGTCCCTATTGTCAATGGCAGTCACTCCGCCTCTTTGAAAAGTCAAAAATCCTAACACGACGAGGCCAGCGGAGATCTGGGCAGATGGAGTCTCGCTTCTAATCCACACTTACTTCTTACGGTGGAAGAAGCCATTAAACGGGAGACAAAGAGGGCACGGATGTCTCCGTTTATGGGGTCCCCAGAGGCCAGTGCCAACGGTCTAGCACTTGCTAACACCTGCAGTGGAGAGAGCAGCAGAGGCCCTCAGGGGAGAGGGCAGCACAGGCCCAGGCGGCAGGCCGGGCTCCACAGGTTCCTTCAGCGTTTATGCTGGAAACAAAGTCTTGGCAGAAGCAGTGTAACAACTGCCACTGAGTAAATAAAGCAAACACAACTTAATTCATTCACAATGAAAAATGAAAAAAGATGTGGAATTTCTAAAAAAAAAAAAACAACGTGAGAAGTGAGAGTCCACTTCCCGCGCTGGGGAAGCTGGGGGAGTCAGCCTGGCTCTCACTGGCCAGCTTCTGGCGCAGGAGGTTTTGTCCAGTAAGCCGCCCTTCTTGACCCGAGAAGGCCTGAACTGCCGGGCCAGGGCCGTGGTGCAGTGGTCAAGCCGCTGCTAGTGGCATCGGCGTCCCACGTGAGTCCTGGCTGTTTCATTTCCAATCCAGCTCCCTGCTACTGTGCCTGGGAAAGCAGCAAATGATGACCTTAGCGCCTGGGTCCCTGCCACTCAGATGGGAGGCCCTGATGGAGCTCCAGGCTCCTGGCCTTGGCCTAGCCCAGCCCGGTCACTGCAGCCATTTGGGGAGTGAACCTGTGGATGGAAGTTCTCTCTGTCCTTTTCTCTCTCTGACTCTGCCTTTCAAATACATAAATAAATCTTTAAAAAAAGGTCAGAAATGTCACAAAACAGTTTCACCAAAATATCAAACTAGAACAAATTAGAAAAATGGTAAATATCACTTATCTATCAATTATGAGTCTTAGCAACGCTCCCTATCACTTGTAGACTTTTACAGTGTTAACTTGCAATCATGGTAATGGAAGCAAGGTTCTAGTGACAGGAGTCACCCAAAGCCAGGTTAATGTTGCATCAGAATTCAGATTAGAGTTCAGGGGTCAGTGCTCAGATTTCCTGTAATAAGTAACGTAATAAGTAATAAAACAAGCTGTCACCCAGTGTGCTGATTTCTAGGCCCCGATCTTCTCGATACTGCAGCCAACCTCTCCTGACCAACTTGGTTGCTAACATCATCTTTACTTTCTTCACAATCGGTAAGTGTCCAGTCATCTGTCACGCACATACGAAGTGTCTGCTATTTGCCAAATCCTGCTAGGACAAAAATGTCTAAGATAGGGCTTTCTGGGGCAGACGTCTGTCCTAGGGCCAAGACATCAGTCAGGACATTTGCCTCCCGCGTCAGGGTACCTGGGTCAGTAACCGGCTCTCACTCCTCAGTCCAGGGTCCTACCGACGCAGGCCCTGGGAGGCAGCAGTGATGGCTCAAGTTATTGGATTCCTGACGCCCTTTGGGAGACCCCGACTGGGCTCCCGGCTTCCAGCTCAAGCTGTTGCAGCCATCTGGGGAGCAGATGAAAGATCTTTAAAAAAAATTTTTTTAAAAAAAAGATAAAGATTTCTGTTCTTCAGCTCACAGACTGAGCATACGAAAAAGTTCATATTTAAAATTCAGGTAAAAAGAATTTTTTAAAAAAGTTCCTGGGAATTGGGGGTAGGGGATGGGGAACAGGCATGTGCCTAGTGATTAAGATATCTGCATCCCACACCTGAGAGCCTGGGTTTGAGCCCTAGTGCCTGACTACAGTTTGCTATTAATGCAGACCCTGGGAGGCAGCAGTGCTGGCCCAGGTGGTTGGGTCCCTGCCCTCCATGTGGGAGAACTGAACTGGGTTCCTGGGTTCCGGCTTCAGCCTGGCCTATCCAAGGATACTGTGGGCATTTGGGGGAGTGAACTTGTGAATGAGTGGTATATCATGAATGGGAGGTATCTGTTTGTCTTCTTTATTTTATCTATCTATCTATCTATTTATTTATTTATTTTGACAGGCAGAGTTAGTGAAAGAGAGAGACCGAGAAAAAGGTCTTCCTTCCGTTGGTTCACAACCCAGATGGCTACTACGGCCGGCACGCTGCACCAATCCAAAGCCAGGAGCCAGGTGCTTCCTCCTGGTCTCCCATGCGAGTACAGGGCCCAAGGACTTGGGCTATCCTCCACTGCACTCTTGGGCCACAGCAGAGAGCTGGACTGGAAGAGGAGCAACCGGGACAGAATCCAGTGCCCCAACTGGGACTAGAACCTGGGGTACCTGCACCGCAGGTGGAGGATTAGCCTAGTGAGCCGCGGCACCAGCCTATTTATTTATTTATTTTATTTTACTTGAAAGTCAGTTACACAGAGAGGAGAGGCAGAGAGAGAGAGAGAGAGAGAGAGAGAGGTCTTCCTTCTGTTGGTTCACTCCCCAGATGGCCGCAATGGCTGGAGCTGAGCCGATCTGAAGCCAGGAGCCAGGAGCCCCCTCCGGGTCTCCCACATGAGCCCAAGGACCTGAACCATCCTCTACTGCTCTCCAAGGCCACAGCAGAGAGCCAGATTGGAAGTAGAGCAGCCAGGTCTCAAACTGGCGCCCACAGGGGATACTGGCACTGCAGGCGGAGGCCCTAACTGCCATGCCACAGTGCCAGCCTCTGTTTGTCTTCCTCTTCAAATAAATAGATAACAAACCAACAATGTTTAAAAGAATATGGGGGCTGGCCGGCGCCGTGGCTCACTAGGCTAATCCTCCACCTGTGGTGCCGGCACCCCGGGTTCTAGTCCCGGTTGCTCCTCTTCCAGTCCAGCTCTCTGCTGTGGCCCAAGAGTGCAGTGGAGGATGGCCCAAGTCCTTGGGCCCTGCACCCGCATGGGAGATCAGGAGGAAGCACCTGGCTCCTGGCTTTGGATTGGTGCAGCGTGCCGGCCGTAGTAGCCATCTGGGTTGTGAACCAACGGAAGGAAGACCTTTTTCTCGGTCTCTCTCTTTCACTAACTCTGCCTGTCAAAATAAATAAATAAATAGATAGATAGATAGATAAAATAAAGAAGACAAACAGGAAGGAAGACCTTTCTCTCTGTCTCTCTCTCTCTCTCACTAACTCTGCCTGTCCAAAAAAAAAAAAAAAAAAAGACTATGGGGGCCAGGGTTGTGGCTCAGTGGGTTAAACTGCTGCTTGTGATGCCAGCACCACATGTCAGAGCACCAATTTGCCTCCAGTCCACCTGCTCTGCCTCCAATCCAGCTTCCTGCAAACACGCCTGGGAGGGCAGCAGATGATGGGCAAGTGCTTGGGTCCCTGTTACCCATATGGGAGAACAGGATGGAGCGCCTGGCTCCTGGCTCCTGGCCCAGCTCTGGCTGTCAAGGGCATTTGGGGAGTGATCCAGCAGATGGAAGATGTCCCTGTCTCTCTCTCTCTGATGCTATGCCTTACAAAGGAAGGGAGGGAGGGAGGGAGGCAGGGAGAGAGGGAGGGAGGCAGGCAGGGAGGGAGGGAGGGAGGGAGGCAGGGAGGGAGAGAGGGAGGGAGGCAGGGAGGGAGGGAGAGAGGGAGGGAGGGAGGGAGGGAGGGAGGGAGGCAGGGAGGCAGGCAGGGAGGGAGGCAGGCAGGGAGGGGGCTTCTGAGATGACTGACCCAGGAACCAACGCCGCTCCCCGTCCTTTCAGGTTTCACGGTGCTGCTTACTCACGTGCAGCCGGCCCCGCAGGCACTAAAGGGGATGTTCTCCGTCTTTGGTGTGGGGTCCTTCGGAGTGGGAGCCTGCACTGTGGTGCTGACGGGCTTGGCTGCTGACTGCGTATGTATTAAATGTGGCTACCTGAGGGCTCATCCTAATCTAAAAGCTGAGCTGTAAACAGTAAACACACCATTAGTCTTCAGTATTTATCTGCCACTTACGCTAAGACTGGAGGGCTGTAGAAATGGAATTCCTAATCAGACATGTGTCCCAAGTAAAACACTTCTCTGGGGAAAGTTAAAAAAAATCCACCAGAGACTTTGCTTTTGGAGGGTAAATTCCATTTTTCTAGCATTTTACAAAGTAGTTAGGATGTTAATTGGGCAGCAGAGCACATTAAGCAGTGAGCGTTCCAGCTCTTGCTAAACTGGCACATTCACTTAAATCCTTGTGGCAAAAAACATTTTTAATACATGTTCTATTATAAGGCAAAACATCCTTCATAGTTTTTTTTCTCTCAACTATAGGAAAAAACAACCCCTGAACTTTACTATTTGTCTGTGCTCCTGTCAGTCAGCAGCCTGGCTTCCACGGGTAAGCAAAAAACCTTCCCAACTAGCCAGTCCTCGTCAAAGGTTTGCCAGTCTGCAAGGTGCGCAACAAGCCAATCATGGCTGTTGGAGGGCAAGGGGCAGCTTCAGGAGGGGAGCTGAGCACCGAGCCTCCTTCAAAGCAAGAGGTCCAAGAAGCTAAGGAACGCGGAAAGCAAAGGAGACAAAAGGGAGGGGTCGGGCTGGCGGGAAGCAGCCCTTCTCGGGTGACCCCAGGCTGTTTAATCACCCCCACTCTCCATCTCCCAGTGCTTTCCTCAGGCATGGGGCTGATGTGGCTGTCCAGGGTGACCTGTCCAAAGCCAGACGCCAAGCCAACAGTCTAAAGCTGGCCTCTGAGTCCTGCTGGTCTCCTGCCTCAGAGATGTGACTAGGGCTGGCTGTCCCCGCAGCTCGACGACCCATCGCAAGCACACAATGGTCTCCTACCCTGCTCTGCCTAGGGGAACCACAGCTGAACATCAGAGCAGACAACAGGAAGCACTGCAAGACCAGACATCTGGAACAGAGTTGCCTTTAAGGATTATCAAGCAGGGGCAAAAGACAAAGAGGAACTGCAAACTGCAAACACAGGATCACACTACAACCAAACTCACTGCAAATAAGGACTTCTTTTTTTTTTTTTTTTCTGTTACAGTTTTCTGTTTAGATTTTATTTGAAATCAAGTTCAAATTTTCAAAGTTACAAAAGGAAGAAGATAGCTGTATTACTTTTGCTAAGTCACAACATCCTAAAACGAAATATTACCACTGTTAGCAGAAAAGAATCCCCTTTTAAATACTTTCAAAATCATTACTTGGACAATGAAAGGCCCTGGAAGTAATTGTTAGGATTGGAAGAAACAATGTAAAAACAACAGGGCTCTTGCACTCTCTAGACCTCACCAACCAAAATGTTAACATGTCAGATAGATTTCAGGTTATCTCAAGGCAGTTTCTATTGGAAGTTTCTTTTTCCCCTGAACTTTCTATCTTGCCCCCCACAACCTTAATCGACCTGTAGATCTCAGTCCATGACAATTCCACCATCCCAGCTGCTGAAGCCCAAATACCTCGAATTATGCATTTCATTTATTTATTTTTTACAGGCAGAGTGGACAGTGAGAGAGAGAGACAGAGAGAAAGGTCTTCCTTTTTCCGTTGGTTCACCCTCCAATGGCTGTCGCGGCCGGCACGCTGCAGCCAGCACACCGCGCTGATCCGAAGGCAGGAGCCAGGTACTTATCCTGGTCTCCCATGGGGTGCAGGGCCCAAGCACCTGGGCCATTCTCCACTGCACTCCCTGGCCACAGCAGAGAGCTGGCCTGGAAGAGGAGCAACCAAGACAGAATCCGGTGCCCTGACCGAGACTAGGTGCCGCAGGCGAAGGATTAGCCTATTGAGCCGCGGCGCTGGCCCTCAAATTATCCTTAACATCTTTCTGTTTTTCCTCCACCCCTCATCAAGAAATTCTGATGGATCCACCTTCAAAATATATTCAAAATCCAACCAATATTTGCTCCTTGGAAATTTTTATGGCATTGTGGCACGGTGGGTTAAGCCGCGTTTGCAATGCCTGCATCCTTATGGGAGTGCTGGCTCCAGTCCCAGCTATCCTGCTTCCAAGCAAGCTGCCTGCTAATGAGCCTGCGAGAGGAGAAGATGGCTCAAGTGCTTGGGACTCTGCTACCTACGCAGGAGACAAGGACGGAGTTTCAGGCTCCTGGTTCCAATCTGGCCCAGCCTTGGCTGTTGCAGCCATTTGGGGAGTGAACCAACATATCTCTCTCTGCCTCTCTCTCTCTGTAGCTCTGCCTTTCAAATAAATAAATCTTTTTTAAAACAGCAGGGATGGGGATGGGGGCCAGTATTGTGGGGCAGTGGGCTAAGCTGCCACCTGCAATGCCGGCACCCCACATCGGAACACTGGTTTGAGTCCTGGCTGCTCCAATTCTAATCCAGCTCCCTGCAAATGCACCTGGGAAAGCAGCAGAAGATGACCCCAGTACTTGGCTCCTGTCACTCATGTGGGAGACCTAGAAGGAGTTCCAGGTTCTTGGCTTCGGCTTGGACCAGCCCTGGCCACTGCAGCCTTTAGGGAAGTGAACCAGAGATCAAAGATCTCTCTCTGTCTCTCTTTTAAATAAATAAATAAATCTTAAAAAAAAAAAAAAAAAAAAAGGGCCGGCGCCGCGGCTCACTAGGCTAATCCTCCGCCTAGCGGTGCCGGCACACCAGGTTCTAGTCCTGGTCGGGGCGCCGGATTCTGTCCTGGTTGCCCCTCTTCCAGGCCAGCCCTCTGCTGTGGCCAGGGAGTGCAGTGGAGGATGGCCCAAGTGCTTGGGCCCTGCACCCCATGGGAGACCAGGAGGAAGCACCTGGCTCCTGGCTTCGGATCAGCATGGTGCGCCAGCCGCGGCGGCCATTGGAGGGTGAACCAACGGCAAAAGGAAGACCTTTCTCTCTGTCTCTCTCTTTCACTGTCCACTCTGCCTAAAAAAAAAAAAAAAAAAAAAAGATGTGGTGGGCTTCGTGACACAGTGTGACACAGCAGGTTAAGCCATTATTTGGGATGCCAGCATCTCAGAGTGCTTGGGATTGCGTGCTGCCTCCACTCCTGATCACTTCCTGCTGGTGGGCACTCTGAATGGCAGCGGATGACGGCTCCAGTGCCTGGGTCCCTGCCACACACGGGAGACCTAGCTGGAGTTCTGGCTCCTGGCTTCAGCCTGGCTCAGCCCCAGTCCCGGCCATTACTGCCATTTGGGGAGAAAACCAACGGATGGGAGATTTTTCTCTCTCTGTATCTCTCCCTTTCTCTCTATAATTCTGCCTTTCAAATAAATCTTTTTTTTTTAATGATAGCTTAAAATAATAGAGAAATGAAAACATATACCCACACAAAGCAACAACTGGAAACTCAAATGCTGATCAGAAGTGAATGGGGGTGAGTATCTGGTCCAGGCGTTCAGACCCTGGGTTGGAATCCCATGTCCTGTATTTCAGTGCCTGTGCTGGAATTCGGGACCTGCTCTGGATTCCAGCCTCCTGCTAATGCACACCGGAGGAGGCAGCAGTGATGGACAAGTGGTAGAGTCCCTGCCACCCATGTGGGAGACCTGGACTGGGCTCCTGGCTCCCGGATGCAGCCTAGATGTGGGGAGTGAACCAGCAGGTGCTAACACGCCTGGCAGCAAGCAGACGATGGTCCAAACACTTGGTTGCTGACACCCACGTGGGAGCCCGGGATGCAGCTCCTGGCTCCTGCTTTCAGCCTGGCCTAACCTCGGCTGTTGCATTTGGGGTGTGAACCAGCAGATGTAAGGTCTCTTCGTCTCTGTCATTCTTCCTTTCATATAAATAAATAAATAAATCTTTAAAAAGAAAATACAAGTTCATACTCTTACTCATCATGCAAGATTTACAACGGTATAAGCAATCCACTAGCAGGCATTAAAAAGAGGCCCAAGGGGCCAGCATTGTGGCACAGGGGGTTCACTGCTTGCAATGCTAGTATCCCAAATCAGAGTGCCAGTTTGAGCCTAGGCTACTCCACTCTGACCCAACTTCCTGTTACTGTACCTGAGAAGGCAACAGAAGATGGCCCAGGTGCTTGGGCCCCTGCTACCCATGCGGAAGACCTGATGGCCTTCCTGGCTCCTTGCTTCAACCTGTCCAGCATGGCTGGCCGTTGTAGCTCCTTGGGGAGCCAAGCAGCAGATGGAAGATCTCTCTCTTTCTCTTTCTCTTTCTCTCTCTCTCTCCCCCCACACCCCACCTTTCAAATCAATCAATCAATCAACAAAAACAACAGAGGTCCCAGAGTTCAGAGAGCCTTTGGCTAACAGTACTTCTTGTTAGTCACTCAAGTTTCCCCTGCCCCAGCATTCTCTCTACCTTGTTACAGCAGTTTGCATTCCCCGGGCTCCCATCCCAAGTCCAAGCAAGTTAAATGTCCTAAACGCCAGCTGCTAAGCAGGATGTATCCGATTTCCTAGTAATGACTCCCAACTCCACTTGCGTCTCTGCCACCCTCGTGGGAGAACCAGACTGAGTTCCTGGCTCCTCAGTCCTGCCTCCTATGACCACATAGCATAGCATTCCTCCTTCTCCAACCTCTTCTGTCTCACATTTGAAGGCTTGGAAAATTGGAAACCAAACCAATTTCTTACTTAAGCACTAGAAATACTCATTATCCATTCAACCTTAAAAAAACAACCCTAGTATGTAAGAACATCCAACAACACAGACCCACTGATCAGCTAAGAAAAAAGAACATGAGGTAAATACAGGGCGTACGTGGTAAGGCCTCTTCTCCACAGCTTTCACGACTACATAAAGTGAGCACAAGGTGGCTGGCTCGGGCGCAGCAGGCGATTTGCGGCTTGGGACGCCCAGTCCCACACACGAGTACCTCGGTTTGAGACTTGGCTCTGCTTGAAATTCCAGCTTCCTGCCAGTGTGCACCTTGGGAGGCAGCAAGCGAGAGCGACTGGGTTCCCGCTACCCACGTGGGAGAGTGGACTGAGCTCACAGCTCTGCGACAGGCGGGAACATTTCCACCCAGCACAGCATCAGCCAGCACAGCATCAGCTGCCGTGGGCAGCCGGGGAGTGGACGAGTGGACAACAGATCTCTGCCTTTCAAATAAATGAAGCTGAAAAACCAGCACAAATGCCTAAATCGAATTCCACATTATCGTCATCAACATTAGGGAAGCACATGGTGAGAAAGTGCTTACTCAGCAAATTCTCTCAATGGTTCCCGTGTTTTCCAGTTCTGTTTGGCAGTAGAGTCACTGAGTTCCATTTTACCGTAAACATTGATACTTTCCCTCATGTTAACCTACCAAAATTAAATATAATCACATTGATGTAACAGGCACTTACTTTTACAAAGGAATTCTTTGAATCTGAAGTGTTTTGTAAGGTAGGCTACTGGAATCATTCCAACCAGTGTGTCACCATTCTCTAAAAAAGCAGCTTCGTGTTTAATTCTGAAGAAAAAAAAAGCCTAGTGATAAGAAATTCTGTGATCAGACACAGGTGACAGAGCAATTCCTTCTGGTAGAGTTCTATGACCATCAACATTGGAAGTCTGTCCTGGGCAGCAGAAATCTAACTTCAGTGACCAGACCTCTGAAATGACGATGTCTCCGATGTCCCGTGGACTGCTGGTTCTTCAGAAGGGGGGGGGGACAGAAGTGTCCACGCAGGACAGGATTTGGCACAGGGGTTAGGATGAAACTTGGGATGCCTGTATCCCATAGCAGAGTGCCTGCGTTAGAGTCCCAGCTCCACTTCTCTTTTCTTTCCTTCCCTCCCTTCATCCCTCCCTCCTTTCTACTTTTCTTTCTCTTCCTTTTTTTTTTTTTAATTTATTTATCTGAAAGACAGAGTTAGAGAGAGGCAGAGGCAGAGAGATTAGTCTTCCATCTGCTGGTTGACTCCCCAAATGGCCACAACAGCCCAAGTTGGGCTCATTCTGAACCTAGAAGCCAGGAGCTTCTTCCAGGTCTCCCATGTGGGTGCAGGGGCCCAAGCACTTGGGCCATCTTCCACTGCTTCCCCAGGCCATATTAGAGAGCTGGATCGGAAGTGGAGCAGCCGGGACTCGAACCCGCGGCCACATGGGCTCCACTTCTGATTCCGGCTTCCTGCCTGGGTGCTCCCGGGGACTCCAGCACTGGAGTCCTTGTCACCCAGGAGGGAGACCGGGATTGAGTTCCCAGGCTCCTGGCTTCAGACGGGACCAGCCCCGACTATCGTAGGAATCTGGGGGGTGACGCGAAGGGAGTTCTCCGGCTCTTTGCCTTTCAAATAATGTTAGGAAACACTGGAAGGAATGTTTCCAAAAGCCATCTCCTTCCCAGGAAGCGAGGGGCCAATCGGCTTCCAGGAAAGTGGATCCACTCTGCCACGGACTTGGGAAAGGGCAGGCGTTGAAGACGAAGACTTTCCCTCGGTCGCCTCAGCGCCAACCCTCAAAAACCCTCGCGTGACGTCACCCGCTGCGAACGTCAGAGGCAAATTTCCGAGGTTTTTGGTTCCTCGAGGAAGAAGTAAAGGTGAACGTGACCTTGCCTCAGGACCGCAGTACCCGACCCTAGACGTCCACACCAGCTCGGGCTGGCCACCGAGTCCTGGCTGACACCACTGCGCAGGGGCTGCGGGCGGGGGGAACCACTGACTCACCCACTGCCACGGACGCCACGCGGCGCGGACCCGGGCGAAGGCGGAACCCCGCGGCCGCACCCCCATTGGCTCCCGGGGACCGGAAGTGGTACGTCGGGAGGAAGTGCTCCCTCCCGCGCGGTCGGGCTCGTGTGGCCCGCAGGTAGGCGGGGCTCCTGGCTCCCGGCTCGGGAACCGGGCCCTGGCGGGAGGCGAGAGGGGACCCCGGGGGTCCGGGAGGAGCTCTGGGTTCTCCTCAGAGAGGACCGGAAGGCGCGTCGGGGGCGGCGGGTCACGGCGACCCCTGGGGGCAGCCGGGGCCTGGTGGGGCCGGGCCGCCGCCGGAGCTCCGTGCCGGGGTTCTCCGGTTCCCGGGCGGGGATGGGATTCACTCCCGCACGGCCGTGGTCGGGTGCCGCTGGCTGCCCGCGGGGAAGAGGTGTGCCCTCCGCCCTCCCCTGTTCCGCGCGCGTCCGGTGGCGGGGTCTTCCACCACGACGGCCTGGGGAGGCTGCGCGGGGCGCGGCGTGGTGGTCGGCGCCCCGGCCCTGGCGTCCTCGGTCGCGGGCCGTGTCCGGCCAGGTCCCTGGAGTAAGTGAAGCGCCTTGCTAATGCTTTCCCCTTCCCCAGCCGCCGCCACGCCTGCGGGGTTTGAACCTTGAGCCTCTGGTCCTGATGAGATTGCGCCTTCTCCAAGTTGATGACACTCGGAGCTGCGGGCGCCGGAAGGTGGTGCGGTCCGAGAGCGGTCAGCGCGGCGCTGCGAGGCAGGCGAGCGTGAACCGGACTCCAGGATACCGCCCAGGACCTGAGCCGCGGCTCTGCCTTCCGGACACCTGCCTCACCGGCAGGGAATACTAGGTGAGGCGGGCGAGTTAGTCTCTCCGGGAGAAATCAGCGTTTAATGCCAGGGGTTTAAGCTTTTCTTTCTTTCTTTCTTTCTTTTTTTTCTTTTTTTTTTAAGATTTATTTACTTATTTGAAAGTCAGAGTTACACAAAGAGAGGAGCGGCAGAGAGAGAGAAAGAGAGAGAGATCTGCTATTCACTGGTTCACTCCCCAGTTGGCCGCAACGGGCGGAGCTGTGCCGATCCAAAGCCAGGAGCCAGGAGAATCTTCCGGGTCTCCCACGCGGGTGCAGGGGCCCAAGGTCCTGGGCCATCCCCTACTGCTTTCCCAGGCCATAGCAGAGAGCTGGATTGGAAGTGGAACAGCCGGGACTCAAACCAGCGCCCTTATGGGATGCCGGCACTGCAGGCGGCCCCCATGCTTTATTTTTAAAAAAGATTTATTTAAAAGAGTTAGAGAGAGGAAGAGACAGAGAGCTCTTCCATCCGTTGGTTCACTCCCCAAATGGCCATAGCAGCCAGGGCTGGGCCAGGCTGAAGCCAGGAGCCAGGAGCTTCATCAGGGTCTCCCACGTGGGTGCTGGGGGCCGGGTACTTGAGCCATCTTCTGCTTCTCAGGCACGTTAGCAGGGAGCTGGATAGGAGGTGGAGCAGCTGGGACTTGAACCAGTGCCCATACTGGGAGCCAGTGTAGCAGGAGGTGGCTTAACCCGCTGCACCACAGTAGCAGCCCCAAGCCTTTGTGTGCTTGGAATAGTTTCTGGAATGTCCACTCTGTGTTAGGTGCTAAGAAGGCTAAGACAGGAATCAGACTCATTTTCAGCTCTCCAGACAACAAATAATATTTACAATAAAGTTACATGTAGTGCATGCAGAAATAAGTGCTGAATAGAGAATAACACGTGGGCTGCAGAGGAGGCGGCAGGCCGTTCTCATTGTTCAGTTACAGTTACTTACCCAGTGCTGCTTGTCTGCTCAGGAGTGTGCTACAGGCTGCTGTATAAATAAGAGAGCAGGCCCCTGCTCTCAGGTGATTCACAGGCTCGTGCCTGGCAGGAGATCGAGGAAGCCTTCGGAAGAAGGTGACACTTGAACTAAACCTTGAAGAATGGACTCCACAGAAAGTGCAGGTTCAGAAGAGGGGGAACGTGCCACGGTGTCTTTTAGGATAGCAAGTAATCCATCATCTCTAGGAAGTTAACTCTGAAAAGCTGTGTTCATCTTGGGTTTGCCTTGACTTTTACTGGGAATTTCAACAGACAACAATATTAATGGGAGGGGCCTGTGCTACGGCATAGTGGGCAGAGCTTCCGCCTGTGGCGCCAGCATCCCATATTGGCACCAGTTCTAGTCCCGGCTGCCCTATTTCCAATCCAGCTCTCTGCTATGGCCTGGGAAAGCAGAGGATGGCCCAAGTGCTTGGGCCCCTGCACCTGCGTGGGAGACTGGGCAGAAGCTCCTGGCTCCTCATGGTTTCACATTGGCCCAGCTACAGCTATTGTCGCCACTTGGAGCGTAAACCAGTGGATGAAAGACCTTTCTTTCTGTCTCTCACTCTGTAACCTCTCAAATAAATAAATAAAATCTTTAAACAAATATTAATAGGAGGAGCCATTTCCAGGGGAAACTCACTAAACATCGACATGAAGCGTAGCTACAATAAGTCACATGTGTGGGGCAGGTGTTTGGCGTAGTGGTTAGGATATCACTCGGGGTGCCCACATCTGGTACTGGAGTGCCTGGACTCGAGTTCTGACTCTATTCCCTGTTCCAGCTTCTTGCTAGTGTAGACCTTGGGAGGCACCAGGTGATGGCTCACAGGGGATACCTGGATTGAGTTCCCAACTCCTGGCTTTAGCCTGCCCAGCACCAGCTGTTGTGGACATTTGGGGAGTAAACCAGTAGGTGAGAAATTTCTCTCTGTGGCCACCTGTTTCTGTCTCTTTTGCTATTTCTCTTACAAAATAAAATAATACAAAATAAAATAAATAACCCTTCTGGCTATAATGCAGCTTTTAAAATATTTGCATATTATTAATGATCATAGATGATTTAAGTCAGTTTTAAAAGATAAGCTAGTGGGCCTGCGCCGTGGCTCACTAGGCTAATCCTCCACCTTGTGGCGCCGACACACCAGGTTCTAGTCCCGGTCGGGGCGTCGGATTCTGTCCCGGTTGCCCCTCTTCCAGGCCAGCTCTCTGCTGTGGCCCGGGAGGGCAGTGGAGGATGGCCCAAGTGCTTGGGCCCTGCACCCGCATGGGATACCAGGAGAAGCACCTGGCTCCTGCCATCGGATCAGCACGGTACGCCGGCTGCAGCAGCCATTGGAGGGTGAACCAATGGCAAAGGAAGACCTTTCTCTCTGTCTCTCTTTCTCACTGCCCACTCTGCCTGTCAAAATAAATAAATAAATAAATAAAATTAAAAAAAAAAGCTAGTAAGACAAGATTTTCACTTATTCTTTTTTTTTTTTTTTTTAATTCTTATTTATTTGAGAGACAGACACAAAGAGAAAGGGAGCAGTTTCATCCTCTCATTCACTCCCCTAAATGCCTGCAACAGCCAGAGGGCAAAGCCTACAGTGGGGAATCAATCGGGGGCTCCCACTGTGTGGCAGGGGCCCAATCACATGAACCTCCCAGGGTGCTAGGCCAATCTATTTTGAATAAACAGTCATACAGGAATCATTTCCATTGAAGTTCACGTGTGATATCAATGGGTAATGATTTCTTCATGTGCAGGAAGATAAAAATGCTTTAATAAGTGACCCTACAATTTGAATTTTGGTGAGTACCTGATGTTAGCTACTTCCTAAAATAAATGTAAATTTGATTTTTGTAAATGGCAGACTTACTTGCTGTAAATGTTAAGGTAAATGAATACAATATCAGCTTTCCTCTACACCAGAGGTAATCAGAAATTATAGGGGCAAACATTTGGCACAGCCAATAAGAGACCACTTGAGACACCCACATCCCTCGTCAGAGTGCCTGGATTCAAATCTCCGCTCCACTTCCAGTTTCAGCTTTCAACTTGATGTGTACCTGTGAGGCAGCAGGTGTCCTTGCAGCCAGCCAGGAGACCTGGGTTGAATTCCTGGCTCCCAGGCATTGGGGGAGTGAACCAGCAGATGGAAGATCTTTGTCTTTCCAATAAAAATACATTATTTTAAAGAAATTATAATAGCAAAAACCTTATTTCCAATAATAAAAAAGGCAAACACTGAAGAGTCAGTGTTAAGACCTTTGTAAACAGGGAGGCATTGTAGGGCAGCAGGTTGACACTGCTTGGGATGCCCACATCCCATACCAGAGAGCCCGGGTTCCAATCCCAGCTCTGCTCCCAATTTCAGCTTCCTGTTAAAGCACACGTAGGGAGCAGCAGATACCGGCTCAAATGGTTGGGTCACTCCATGCACCTGAGTGACCTGGTTGGAGCTCCAGGCTCCTGGCTTCAGCCCAGCCCTGACCGTTGCAGGCATTTGGGAAGTGAACCAGCAGGTGGGAGATTCTCTGTTCTTCTTTGTTCCTCTGCCTTTCAAGGAAAGAAATACATCTTTTAAAAAATCTATGTAAATAAAACAATACTTATTTATATTTTTTAAAAGATTGATTTATTTAGGAGCTGGCACTAATGTGATGTATTGGGTAAAGCTGCTGCCTGTGGTGCTAGCATCCCATATGAGTGGTGGTTCAAGTCCCAGCTGGTCCTCTTCTGATCCAGCTCTCTGCTATGGCCTAGGAAGGCAGTGGAAGATGACCCAAGTGCTTGGGCCCTTGTACCTGCGTGGGAGGCCCGTAAGAAGCTCCTGACTCCTGGCTTCAGATTGGCTCAGCTTGCGCCATTGTGGCCATTTGGGAAGTGAACCAGAAAATGGAAGACCTTTCTCTCTGTCTCTTCCTCTCTCTGTCTGTAGCTCTACCTCTCCAATTAATAAATAAATCTTAAAAAAAATAGTACTAGAAAAATAAAAAATAAATATTTATTTAATTAATTGGGAGGCAGAGTTACAGAGAAAGAAGGAAAGACAGATTTATCATTCACTGGTTCATCACCCTAAATGGCTGCAATGGCCGGGGCTGGTTCAAGCTGAAACCAGGAGCCAGGAACTCCTTCTGGGTCTCCTACGTGGGTGTAGGGCCCAAGCACTTGGGCCATCCTCCAGTGCTTTCCCACACACATTAGTAGGGAGCTGAATCACAAGTGGAGCAGCTGGGACTCGAACCAGCACCCATATGGGATGCTGGCATCACAGGTGGCAGCTTAACCCACTATGCCACAATGCCATCCCCAACAATACTTTTTTTTTTTAACTAAAGATCATAAAAGAAATTTTTGCTCAGCATTGTGCTGCTTTTTGAGGGGAGAGGATAAGAGGAAGGAGCAAAAACTGTGGAGCCTCTGACGCGTATGAGAATTCTGATGGTACAAGGATGGGATGGGATGGACGGCTGGATAAATCAGAAGCGAGGCTTCTAGCATCTTTTCTTCTATGAATTCTTTAAAAATTTTAATTTATTTATTTGAAAGGCAGAGTTACAGAAAGGCAGAGACAGAGAGACAAGTCTTCCATTCGCTGGTTTACTCCCCAAATGGCCCCAACGGCCAGAGCTTTGCCAATCTGGAGCCAGGAGCTTCTTCCAGGTCTCCCATATGGGTGCAGGGGCCCAAGGTCTTGGGCCACCTTCTACTGCTTTCGCAGGCCATACCAGAGCCTGGATTGGAAGTGGAGTAGCCAGAACTCGAACTGGTGCCCATTTTGGATGCCTGCACTACAAGTAGCAGCTTTATCCGCTGTGCCACAGTGTTGGCCCCTCTTCCACTGATTTTTATAGTTGAAATGATATGATGTGTCATGCTTAATATATCATGTCCAGTAAATGTCAGCTATCTTTTCTAACTCCTCACGGGCTGGGTTCTATCTAAACATCATCTTTGTTTCAGGGAATGAAGTTCACCTGGAAGGCTGGGAACTGAGAATGCAGTACGGGGCCAGCCTTGCGGCACAGCAGGTTAAGCCATGCTGGCATTCCACGTCAGAGTGCCAGTTTCAGTCCTGGCTGTTCTGCTTCTAATCCATCTTATGTGCCTGGGAAGGCAGTGGATGATGGCCCAAGTACTTGTGTCTCTGCCGCCACATGGAAGACCTAGATGGAGTTCCTGGCTCCTGGCTTTATCCTGACCTAGCCCTGGCTGTTGCAGGCATTTGGGGAGTAAACCAGTGGATGGAAGATCTCTGTCTTCCCCACCCCCTCTCATTCTGCCTTTGTAATAAATAAATATTTTTTTTTTTAAAGCGCAGTAACGTTTGGGTAGCACAGTTGGCTGTCTTCTCATCTTCCCTACTTTTCTATGCAAGGAGAGACAATAGAATTTCCCAGGTGGCTTCCCTGGGGTCTCTCCAGCTCATCCTGGCAGGTTCCACATGGAGGACTGTGGCTGCAGCTCTAGGCCGCAGTCTGCTTTGCGGTAATATTGTAGAGACATGCACAGTGATTTCAGAAGCTGTCCTCAGGGTCTCAGCAGCCTCACTGTGCTCAATAACTTGGAGACCCCCATTATCCACGGATAAACTTCGTCCCCTGCCTGAGTCCTGCTCAGGACGTGTCAGTCAGGAATCACCCCTGAGGTGGTGCCTAGCGCTGGGGCCTTTCCTTCTCAGGTGTTAAATCACAGCTGAGGGGCCAGTGCTGTGGCGCAGCAGATCAAAGCCACAGCCTGCAGCGCCAGGATCCCATATGGGTGCTGGTTTGAGTCCCAGCTGCTCTGCTTCCCATCCAGCTCCCTGCTAATGTGCCTGGGAAAGCAGCGAAGGATGGCCCAAGTCCTTGGGCCCCTGCACCCACATGGGAGACCCAGAAGAAGCTCCCAGCTCCTGGCTTTGGCCTGGTGTTTGGAGAATGAACCAGCGGATGGAAGATCTCTCTCTCTCTCCAACTCTTGCCATTCAAACAAATAAATAGATCTTTAAAAAAAAAATCAAGCTAAGCTCCAGGAGGTGTCTTCAGTGTGATGATTCAGGGCAGAAAACTTGATTGACTGGTTGTTGTGGATGGTTGTATCTCTCTCAGGAAGAGAATTCCATGTTCTGGGAGTCTCCCAGACAAGCAGCAGAACTACTGGGATGTGGCTGTCCATCTGGATAAGGTCCTGGAGAGGAGAGTGCATCAAAGCCGAGAAAGTGGTTCAGAAGGCCAGCAGTCGGTGGGCCCAGGCACATCAGCAGGCAGGCCTCAACACTTCACTGTCCATACACTACGAATCAGGTCTCATTAAAGAAACTTTTAAATTAAAAAGCCAGAGCTGATGCAGTGGTATAGAGGTTAGGTCTCTACCTTCAATACCAGCATCCCATAAGGGCACCAGTTCAAGCCCCGGCTGCTCCACTTGTGATCCAGCTCCCTGCTAATGCGCCTGGGAAAGCAGCAGATGAGGACCCAAGTACTTGGGTCCTTGCTACCCACATGAGAGTCCCAGGTGAAGCTCCTGGCTCCTGGCTTTGGCCTGGCCCAGCCTCAGCTGTTGCAGCCATCTGGGGAGTAAACCAGTGGATGGAAGATCTCTCTCTGTCCTCTCTCTCTAGCTCTGCCTTTCAAATAAATAAATCTTTTAAAAAATTAAAAAGCCTAGGTAAGTAGAACAGTGCATTCTTTGATAAGATTCAAATTTCTTCCTTTTTGGTAATTTGTAATTCATTTTAATTGCATGTTTTTATTTTTTTAAAAAAACTTTACTTGAAAGGCAGACTTAGAGAGGTAAAGATACAGAGAGAAAGGTCTTCCATCCGCTTGTTCACTCCCCAAATGACCGTATAGCTGGAGCTAAACTGATCTAAAAGCCAGGAGCCAGGAGCTTCTTCTGGGTCTCCCGTGTGGTTGCAGGGCCCAAGCACTTGGGCCATCTTCTGCTCTCTCAGGCCATTGCAGAAAGCTGGATTGGAAGTAGAGCATCTGGCCATGAACTGGTGCCCATATGGGATGCTGGCACTGTAGGCAGCGACTTTACCCACTATGCCACAGTGTGGACCCCTAGTTGCATGTTTTTATCAGGTAAGAAATGAGTTAGTTTCTCACATTTTAATCTGAGAGGCACGGAGAGAGAAAAAAGCTCCCATTCTCTGGTTCCCTCCACAGATACTCAGGGCTGGAGCAGTCTGAGCTGGGAACAGTGACCTCAATCTAAGTCTCCCATGTACATGACAGGACCGTTACTGGAGCTGTCACCACTACCTCCCAGGGAAGCTGGAGTAAGAAGTTGGAGCTGGGGGGGCTGGTGCCGTGGTGCAGAAGGTTAATCCTCTGCCTGCGGCATTTGCATCCCATATGGGTGCCGGTTCCAGTCCCAGCTGCTCCTCTTCCAATCCAGCTCTCTGCTGTGGCCTGGGAAAGCAGTAGAGGGTGGCCCAAGTGCTTGGGCTCCTGCACCCATGTGGGGTACTGGGAAGAAGCTCCTGGCTCCTGGCTTTGGATCAGCGTAGCTCCGGCCGTTGTGGCCATTTGGGGAGTGAACCAATAAAGGGAAGACCTTTCTCTCGCTCTCTATCCCTCTCACTGTCTGTGGCTCTACCTCTCAAATAAATAAAATCTTTAAACAAAAATAAAGAAGAAGAAGAAGCTGAAGCTGGGCATTGGACCCAGACAACCCAATGTGGGACACAAGTGTCTCGTCTAGCATCTTAACCCCTAGGCTAAACACCCACCCCTCAATAGGACTTTGTTTTTTATTTTCATTTACCTGAAAGAATAATAGAGAAAGAGACAGAGAGGTTTCATCCACTGGTTCACTCCCCAGATGCCTGCAATGACCAGGACTGCCAGGCCGAATCAGGAACCTAGAACTTGCAGGTGACAGAGGGAGAGACAGAGATCAGCCATTCACTGGTTCACTTCCCAAATGCCAAAGCCTGGAGCCAGGAGCTCCATCTGTGTCTCCTAGGTGGCTGGGAGGAACCCAAGCATGTCGGCCATCATCCCAGGCACGTTAGCAAGGAGGTGGATGGGAAATGGAGATGGGCCTGGATCCCCAGCACTTTGGTAAGGGATGTGGGTGTCCCGAGCAGCAGCTTGACCTGTTGCACCATTGTCTCTGCTCCACACAGTTACATCCGATAGGATTTCCTTGTATGTTTTCCACTATCAAATTTGGGTTTTTTAATAGACTTATTTTTACTTATTTGAAAGGAAGAGTGACAGAGAAAGAAATCTTCCATCTGCTTATTCACTCCCCAAGTGGGGCTGGGTCAGGCCAAAGCCAGGAGCCTAGAACTCTATTTGGTTTCCTATGTGGATGGCAGGGCCCAGCTATTTGGACCATCTCCTGCTGCTTTCCCAGACATGTTAGTAGGGAACTGCTTTTCCCAGATACATTAGGCGGAAGAGGAGCAGCTGGGACTTGAACTGGCTCTCTGACATGGGATGTCATAGACGTCACAGGGGGCAGCTTAGCCCACTGCGCCACAACACTGGTCCCTCAAATTTGTTTAAGATACACCAAAAGTGAAAACATCTTATTTATTTGTTAGGCCAATTAATAAGATCATCAGGCATTTTTGTGGGGTGTTGTTATTACATGAATTTAAACTTTTGTATCCACATTGAAATTTTCTTTGCATAACTGTCTTTCCTCTACCTGTAGCTAAGAAATAGTATAGCTTATTTTTTATTGCATTGATATGTTGAATCTCTTAAAATAAGAAATTATAATATACTATATGTGGGTTTATTGGTCTATCTAGAGATTAAAATGGCTTCCAGAGGAAAGACAGAGACAAGCAAATTAAAGCAGAATTTAGAAGAACAGTTGGATAGACTGATGCAGCAATTACAAGATCTGGAGGAATGCAGGTAATAGTATAATTGTGTGCTGTTGTGCTGTGAGGTGGCTCTTTTCTGCAGCTACACTGAAAGCTCCCTGGATGCAAGCCCACGTGTGATTTTGGTTTCCCTTGCAGGGCTCTTCACAGTGCTTTGTCTGTTGGAGAGGTAACCTCAGTGCAGGCCTCAGAGTCATAATGACTGGGATGTGAAAGTCTTTTGATTACTGAATAAGTGCATGTGAACTTGGGCAAAATATTTAACAACCATCAAGTGGAAATAACAACACCTACTGTGTCTTTTAGACAGGCAGAGTAAACAGTGAGAGAGAGACAGAGAGAAAGGTCTTCCTTTTGCCGTTGGTTCACCCTCCAATGGCTGCCGCAACCTGCGTGCTGCGGCCGGCGCACCATGCTGATCCGAAGCCAGGAGCCAGGTGCTTCTCCTGGTATCCCATGCGGCTGCAGGGCCCAAGGACTTGGGCCATCCTCCACTGCACTCCCTGGCCACAGCAGAGAGCTGGCCTGGAAGAGGGGCAACCGGGACAGAAGCCGGCACCCGGACCGGGACTAGAACCTGGGGTGCTGGTGCCGCAAGGTGGAGGATTAGCCTAGTGAGCCACGGCGCCGGCCCCTACTGTGTCTTTATTGCAGTATTTAAAACATCCCTGGAGCCGGTATTGTGGCACATTAAGGTTAAGCCACTGCCTAGGACTCCGGCATCCCATATGGGAACCAATTCGAGTCCCAACTGTTCTACTTCCAATCCAGCTCCCTGCTAATGCACCTGGGAAAGCAGCAGAAGTTGGCCCAAGTACTTGTGCCCCTTCAACCACATGGGAGACCTAGATGAATCTCCTGCCTTTGGCCTGACCCAGCCCTAGCTGTTGTGGCCATTTGGGGAGTGAACCAACAGATGGAAGATCGATCTCTATGTGTGAGTCTCTCCCTCTCTCTGTAACTCTGGCTTTCAAATAAATAAATCTCAATAAATAAAGTAAAATATCCTCGCCTGGTGTGAGGCTGAGAAGCTGCTGCTTGAACTTCTAGTGTGTGGTGTTAGCCTTTCCTGCTCAACAGACTAAGACTGCTCATTGCAGTGTTTTGGTTTACCTATTTTTGTTCATTTGAAAGGTAGAAAGATAGAGATAATCTGCCTGCTGGTTCACTCTCCAAATACCTGTATAAGCCTGGGCTAAGCAGGCTGAAGCTAGGAGCTCAGAACTCAATCCAGGTCTTCCTGGTGGGCGGTAGGCCAGGTACTTGAGCCATCCCATTACCTTCCAGGTGTGTATTGGCCGGAAGCTGAGATCAAAATCAGAGCTGGGACTCAAACCCAAGTGCTCATATATGGGGTGCAGGCCTCCCAGACAGCATCTGCATTGCTGCACCAATTGCCCATCTATTTTTTTGTAGTTTTTAAAAAGCTTGCAAGATTGTTGCAATCTTATAAGTCTATAAATGAAGGGGCCACACAATGCTTGACCTAGGGTAGGCATTCAATAAATGGTAGATTGTAGTAAGTTTTATAAATTTGTTCAGGGAATAAAAATGGCTTCTAATCTGGCAAGTACTGCATTGCTGTTATATTGCAAGGAACACAGAATCTTTCCTACCATTGATGTGATGATGATTGTAACGACAGCCATCTATCACATACCTGTTTGCCAAGCAGTTTCCATCTCCTTTAATGTGCATAGCAACTGTTCGTTGATGGCATCACTCTCCAAACCCTTATAGATAAAGAAACTAAGGCATTGCTATGTTCAGTATCTTGTCTAAAGTCACAGGCTGCACAAGGGAAGTCAGTAAGTGTTTTGTTAAGTGTGCTTTCATTGTAGGAAAAGAAATATATGTAATTGCACATGGCAGGAATATGCCCACGCTACTTTGTGAACACATCTGTCATTAGCATTGTGACCTTTCTGTCCAGCCTTTGTCTAGTGTATCAGTGCTAAGATCTGCTTTTTTCACTTGGAACTGTGTATCTTTCTGTTACAATGTTTACTATACTTTAGGGAGGAACTTGACACTGATGAATATGAAGAAACCAAGAAGGAAACTCTGGAACAACTAAGTGAATTCAATGACTCGCTGAAGAAAATTATGTCTGGAAATATGACTTTGGTAGATGAACTAAGTGGGATGCAGCTGGTAAGTATGATTTTCTTAGATCAGTGGCAAAGTTCAATTCTTGTTTTCTTTTGTAAGTGTATTTCATACAGAAAATGTGTCCTTTTGGGCTGTCACGTCTAGATGAGTGTCTGCTTATGTATAAAACAGCATATCCTTCCAGATCTTCATGGAGTTGTGTGTTGGCTCCTGTAACATGCACAGAAATGTTTGCGAATGAAAATGGGCAGACTGAGCATTAAAGACCATCTGAGAGTTCCTGCGCGTCCGCTTGTTGGATGCTTTCCTTAGTCTCTGCCTTCTTCTGTGTTCAGGCTATTCAGGCCGCCATCAGCCAGGCCTTCAAGACCCCAGAGGTCATCAGATTGTTTGCAAAGAAACAGCCAGGCCAGCTTCGGACGCGGTTAGCAGAGGTAACGTTTCTTCAAATTGTCCTGGCTTCTGTGTGTGCTTTTTTTCCTAGCCTAATAATTTGCTGATTATGATAGTTTACAGTTTAAAAATTGGCCTCTTGATTTTTAAAGCCACAACCCACAATTTTCTGACAAAATGAGCACTTTGAGCAATTACAGTTGATAATGAATGCAGAGGTAAACAGTCGCTGGCAGTTTCAGTGGCCACTCACCACTTCTCCTTAGACCGTTTCTTTGATGCTTTGCCATCTGCTGCTGCAGCTCTAACTTGAAGTCCCTTTGAGAGTTCATCAGCACCATTGTTGCTGCGCATGTGTGGCCTGTCTCATCTGAGAATTTCAAGCATTTTTATAAACCTGATACTTCCCCAGATGTCTTCATAGACTTGACTGTAGTTAAGGATTAACAAATAGGGGATGCTGTTGTAGTGTAACAAGTGCAATACTGGCATCCAGTATGGGTGCTGGTTTGGTCCTGGCTGCTCTGCTTCCGATCCAGCTCCCTGCTAAGTGCCTGAGAAGGCTGCAGAAGATGGCCCAAGTGCTTGAGCTCCTGTCACCCATGTGGGAGACCTGGACAAAGCTCCTGGCTCCTGGCTTCTGCCTGGCACAGCCCTGGCCATTGTGGCCATCTGGGGAGTCAACCAGCAAATGGAAGATATATCTCTCTCTGTGTGTGTCCTTTTATGTATCTCTGAATTTTAAATAAATAAATAAATAAATCTTTTTTTTTTTAAATTAGTTGTACCTACATGTATTTCAGTAGCATAGTCTTTAAGGACATAAGGGATAGGTGTTTGGCCAGTGTTTGAGTCACGGTTTGTGATGCCTGCCTCCCATGTTGGAGTGCCGGATTCAAGTCCTGCTTCCAGTTCCAGCTTCCTGCTAATGCACATCCCGGGGATCAGCAGGTGGTGACTGAATTACTTGGGTCTCTGCCACCCACGTGGGGGACCTGGATTGAGTTCTGGGCTCCTGGCTTTGGCCTGGCCTGCCCCAGCTCTGTCTGTCGTGGACATCTGGGGAGTTAACCAGAGGATAGAAGTTCTATCTCTGTCTGCCTTTCAGATAAAATGAAAATAAATAAATAAAATTTTGTATAAATGCAGGGTATAGATTTGGGTCAGGCTGACTGGATTTCAGTCCCTGTTCCATTTGCTAAAATATGTGACCCCAGGCAAGTTATTTTATTGAACCTCTTGTACCGCAGTTTTCCTGTCCAGAAATGATTATAAGAATCAAATGAAGTAATGTACAAAAACACTTAGAATAGTACCAATGTATAGAATATGCTATTAGTGTTTTTTGGTGGCAGGAATAATTTACTAGTTTTTAAATTTATTTGCGAGACAGAGATAGATACAGCTCCCAAACACCTGTAGTGGCCTGGGCTGGGCCAGGCTGAAGTTGGGAGCCCAGGAGTCAATCCAGGTCTCCCATGTGGGTGACAGGAACTAGATCACTTGAGCCATCACCACTGCCTCCAGCATTAGCAGGAAGCTGGAGTCTGGAGCTGGAGCCAGATATTGAGCCCAGGTACTCTGATGTGGGACACAGGTGTCATCACCAGTGCCTTAGATACTAGACTACATACAAGCCCACGTGTGGATAAACCAGTTATGTCATTCACAGACCACATTTCTGTTTAAAGAAATGTTTTTTAAAATAGATTTTTAAAATGTATTTGTAAGGCAGAGTGACCGGGAGAGTGGAGAGAGAGATATTCTCCATCCAGCATCCTGCTGAAGCCAGGAGCTCCGTCCAGGTCTCCCGTATGTGTGGCAGGGACCCAAGTCTTGGGCCATCATCTGCTGCCTCCTAGGCACATTGGCAGACAGCTGGATGGGAAATGGAGGCAGGACTTGCTTGCATCCCAAGCAGCAGCTTAACCTGTGCCACAGCACCTGCCCCAAGAAATGAGTTCTTAGAGGATAGCTTCTCTAAAGGAAGCTACTGACCTGCCAGCTCCAGGGGAGTTTATCACTAGCACAGCAGTTATGATTAGCATTAAAATTCATTAGAGCTGCATAAGAGCATTTCTGTCATGCTTCCTTTGGGTTATTTTTGTAGTTCTTTATATTAATCAGCTAGAGGATTCTTTCTAAGGAATCTGAAAAGCTGATTTTGTGCACTGGATGTCTTTCACTGAAGTCACACATGTCTTGCTTTCACCTGTTGTAGATGGATAGAGACCTGATGGTAGGAAAGCTGGAAAGAGACCTGTACACACAACAGAAAGTGGAGATACTAACAGCCCTCAGGAAACTGGGAGAGAAGGTACCAGTATTTCATTTCATCATGGACTTGAAGAGACGCTGCTAAGTATCTGTGCAGAGGTTCTCCCCCCGTGATCACAGTGGTGGTCTTCAGACGTTCTTGACTGTGGTTCCTAGAACCACTTCTGACATTTGAACCCCGTCTACGAGGCTTCGTTTCCTTTTCAGCTAACTGTAGAGGACGAGGCCTTCTTGTCAGCAAATGCAGGTGCTCTGCTTAGCCAGTTCGAGAGAGTCTCTGCGGACCTGGGTGAGTGCCCTTGCGTTCTGCAAGCTGGACGTGTGCCCGTGCCCCACGTGGACACGGATCGGCGCTGGGCTGACGTGGTGACCTTGCTGGAGCCCACCAGTGAGGCCAGGATTGTTTCCTTATAAACCCATTGTGTTGCTTCTATTTCCCAACACTTTTTAATTATTTATTTAATATCTTTTTTAAAGATTTATTTATTTATTTGAAAGTCAGAATTAGAGAGAGGGAGGGAGATACAGAGAGCCATTTGGTTCATTCTCCAAATGGCTGCAATGGCTAGGGCTGGGCCAAGCCAACGCCAGGAGCCAGGAGCTTCATCTGGCTTTCCCATATGGGTGCAGGGGCCCAGACTTGGGCCAACCTCTGCTGCTTTCCCAGGCGCATTAGCAGAGAGCTGGAACAGAAGTGGAGCAGCTAGGACTCAAACCAGTGCCCATGTGGGATGCTAGCACTGCAGATGGTGGCTTTACCTACGTGCCACAGTGCTGGCTCCCCCAAAATTTTTTAATTAAAAAAAAAAATGTGGGGCCAACGCTGTGGTGCAGTGGGTCAAAGCCCTGGCCTGCCGGCATCCCATATGGGCACCGGTTCAAGTCCCGGCTGCTCCTCTTCTGATCCAGCTCTCTGCTATGGCCTGGGAAAGCAGTAGAAGATGGCCCAAGTCCTTGGGCCCCTGCACCCACATGGGAGACCCGGAAGAAGCTCCTGGTTCCTGCCTTCAAATCAGTGCAGCTCCGACTATTGCAGCCATCTGGGGAGTGAAGGAGCGGATGGAAGACCTTTCTCTCCCCACCCCCTCTCTGTCTCTCTGTCTCTCTCTGTGTAACTCTTTCAAATAAATAAAATAAATCTTGAAAAGAAATGCAGCCTAATGTTTTCAAATGCTTGTCAGCAAAATATATCAGTGAACTAAAATTTTCTATTGTGTATTTTATAACTAGTGCTGGAGTAGGATTCGTAATTAGTAAGACACCCTCGTTGCTGGATTGTTTGTGCAGAGGAAAGGGAATCGAGGTGGCAGTGGGGCATGTAGGGGTCAATGCACTGAGCATGGAGGCAAATTCTGATTCCTATTTTAGTGCTTGTGTGTCAGATTTTTCCATCTTTACCTGAGATTTCAAATAACCTTTTTGTTTATTATGTGTCTTTCTTCAGGCTCTGGAGATAAAGTCCTTGCTCTGGCAAGTTTTGAAGTCGAAAAAACAAAAAAATGACATGGCGTGGAAGCTCATGACATGGGTCACATCCGTATTAAATGTGGTTTTTTCTTCCTGAGGAGTTTGAGTCATTGCAAAGAAACAGGTTCTCTAAATGCATTAATTGCCCAAGAAAAAGTGACATAAAAACACCCTTGTAACTTCTGCTTGTGCTTACTGTTGTGCTTCGTGTAGGGCTGCCTGCTTAGGTGATCCCAGATTTGCTGGGACAGAGGGACCACTGGGCTTTATTTGTTATGATTTTTCTGCTTTTTAAAAGAGACAACAAAAATGGATTTCCTGTTTTTATTTAGGCTTCTTGGTTTTTAGTGCTTTTAGTGAATGAAAAGATGTGAACTGTGGATCCTTTGGTGGTTCCAGCTTACCCAGTCGTGGGAGTAAACAGCACGGAAGATGGGCCTCATGTGTGTTCACAGAATTTTAGAGCCCTGTGCCATCTTACAAGTCATTTTCCTTTTACAAACAAGGAAACAGACTCAGAAAGCAAGCTGCTTCTTCAAGTCACTCTAGAAACGGAGCTGGAAGTCAAACTCAGGTGCCCCGACTAGTATCTGTTGAGTTTTATTTCTTTATTCTGAACCGTTATTTTTAAAAATAATTACATATTTGTGATTAGTGTTTCTGAAAACCCAATGTCCCAATCAAAAGTTGAGTCTACACTAACGGACCTTCTGCCTGTAAACTCTGAATGAGTGGGGCCCATTGTGTCTGTGAATGTTGGAGCTTGGAACAATGGGAGCGCTGTTGAGTCTCCTGAAGTAACCTAGCCTCCCGTGCTTTTTAACCAGAGAAGCAATAGAGGCCCTCCCTGTGGTGACCTCCTGCCAGACTCCGCGGGTGGTAATAGGCAGCTGCTATGTGCTCTTCAGTTTTTGGAGAAACACAAAGTAAGTTATGAGGAGAAGCTGAGTTTCTCTCCCGAGCATTTGTCTCTGCATGATGAAATCCATAGAAAAGTCTGAGTGCGTGTATATTCGCTGATTTCCTAGCTGTGACCACTTTATAGTCCTTCAGTGTTTCTCAATATTATTTGACTTTGTACAAATTAAAGACATTTTTAAAGTTTCTTAAATAATATAAGCTCTACTAGGTGCTTTGCCAACTGAACAAATTAGGGGACCTCAGCTACATTAATGCCTTATTTGGAACTTGGAATAGGTAATTTTTATGTGTTGGTTATGACCATCAAAAACTCACTGAAATTGTGACAAACTAAGAAAACTCAAATTACCTGCTTTTCATTTTTGACTTCATGGTAAAGCATCATTATTTTATTTATTACATTTTTAAATGGAAGTGAAACTCATGTAACACAAAACTCACTATTTTAAAGTATCTAAGTCAGGACAGGCATGCTGTGGCAAGTTAAGCTGCTGCCTGCAGTGCCCATATTCCATATCAGAGTGCCAGTTCCAATCCCAGCTCCTCTGCTCCGATTCAGGTTCTTGCTAACGTGTCCTGGAAGACAGTAGAGGACGGCTCAGTACTTGGGTCCCGGCCACCCTTGTGGGAGGCCTGGATGAGGTTCCTGGTTTCCACCTGATCCAGCCCTGATTGTTGCAGGTGTTTGGGAAGTGAGCCAGCAGATGGAAGATTCTTGCTGTCTCTCTGTTGCTCTGCCTTTCAATTAAATATAAATAAAACATTCAAAAATAAAGTATACAATTCAATGACAGCTAGTACTTCCACAGAACTGTATAAATAGAACCACTATCTAGTTCTAAAATATCTTCATCACCTCACCTCCAAAGGAGATACTTTTTTTAAAAGATGGCTAGATCATTATTTTTTTTTAAGAGGCAAGAGAGACAAATTAGAGAGCTCACATTCACTCGTTCACTCCCCAGATACCTATGTCAGCCATGGCTGCAGTCAAGGGAACTCATTTGATGTCTCCCTCATGGATGGGAGGAACCCAGTCATTTGGTCCATCAAGATTGCTTCCAAGGTCTGCATGTTCAGGAGACTGGAATCAGGAGCCAGAGATGGGTATCAAACCCACGCACTCTGACATCCCCCCGGGACCCCATACTTAAGAAAGCAGTTATTCCCCCGTCCTCCCTCAGCCTTCCAGCAACACTAATCTGCTCTCTGTCTCTGGATTTACTCATTGCAGATATTTCATATAAATGGAATCATATCATACATAGCTTTTTTGAGATAACTTTTCACTAGTGTATTTTCAAAGTTGATCCATATTGTAGCATGTAATCCATTCCTTTACATGGTTGAATAGCATTTCATGGTGTTGGATGCTACATTTTGTTTACCCATTTCATCTGTGGGTGAACACTGGAGTCGTTCCACCTTTTGGCTGTTGTGAAAAGTGCTGTTCCTGAATATTAGTGTACGTGTATGTGTTCTCAGTATTTCAGTATTTTTGGGTATATGCCTTGTAGTAGAATTGCTGTGTTTGTTTTTTAAACTATAGCAAGATTCTCCTCCCCTAACTCCTGCTCTCCCCTCACCCCCAGAAGTATGCCAGGAAATTCTGGATTATTTTGCATCTGAAAGGGGCCTGTGAATCCGGAATCCTTAATCTTGGTTTCCCTTAACCTTCCTATGAGACTTGCATCAGTGAAGCACTTGGTCACTGCTGGATCACATTCATGCCTTCAGTGTCAAGTTAGCTTTCTTTCCCAGAGGCCCAGCTTGCAGTGCTGCGTGACACTGAGGCATGGCTGTGGCCTTTGAGAGGCTACTTAGTGTATCTGAGCCTCGTTTTTCTTTTCTGCTCATTGGGGATATAAGACCTACCTCATAGGATTGTTGTTTATTCCCCTTTCTTCCTTAGTACAGAAAAAAAGTTTTGCATTGGAGCTAATCTATCACTCAACAACTCTTCTAAGCGCCATAGAAAAATAAGTTGAAAAGAGAGTAAATTCTATGCAATTATAATTAGTATTAAGTGACTTATAAACTGTGTTTCCTGTTCATATTTTGCTACATTAATCTTCTAGTTTTTTATATCTCTTCAGAGACTGAAGGTTGCAGTAAAGCTAAGGCAGCTAACTGTTCAACAGGCTTGGGTCAATGCTTATTTTGGTGAAAAAAATTCCTGCATTTCTAAAAGAACTGGGGCTGAGACAGAAATAGTTCCAATGGGTGAGTGTCCAAATTGGCTGTTTAATGAAAAACTAATAATTTGAAACAATTCCTGTGTTTCAGTGTTTTGTTTTTATCCTTTGAGTAGTAAAACAGCTATTCTGGGTGGTGGTTTTTCAGGAAAAAACTTACATGTAGAATGAGAAGTTACTCCTAGGAAAAAGCTGGAGATGGGACAAATGGACTGTTACCTTTGTTAGATCTTTTATTGTGGACTTTTAGCCATGGAAAGATCATTTTTTAGCAAAATAAAAGGCTGTGCTATTCTGCCATTGAAATGATATCTTATTACAGCGAATGATGGACAATTTGAAATTATTACAGAGAAAATAAACCAAGACCATGTTGCCTAGAGTCAACTACCTTCCTGTCTGTGTTTGTTTTTTCTTATTCTATTCACTGCTACCACCAAAGAATGCTCTTCTTTGCCTCTCAAAATATTTCCCAGCATTAGTATGTAAATTAAAACTGTCTGCATTCCCACAGACCCCTGTGAACAAGTTGCAGGATAAAATTGACTGCATTGTCTGGCCATGGAATTAAAAAGATTTTAGAAACTGGAGAAACTAGTATTTAATATTGCATCAAGTTGCAAAAAGTAGTAAAAATAAGGCTTTTGTAGATTCCCCTAGAATATGGCCTTTTGACATCCTAACTCACCTTCTTTTTGAAATCTGACTCCCTGGTTAACACTAATTGCAAAGTGGAGACTTTATCACAGGGAGCCGCAAACACATGGGGTTAGCAGTGTTCTCAAGAGGTCACACTGGGGCCGGTGCCACGGCTCACTAGGCTAATCCTCCGCCTTGCGGCGCCGGCACACCAGGTTCTAGTCCCGGTCGGGGCGCTGGTTTCTGTCCTGGTTGCGCCTCTTCCAGGCCAGCTCTCTGCTGTGGCCAGGGAGTGCAGTGGAGGATGGCCCAAGTGCTTGGGCCCTGCACCCCATGGGAGACCAGGATGAGTACCTGGCTCCTGGCTTCGGATCAGCACGGTGCACTGGCTGCAGCGCTCTGGTCGCGGCGGCCATTGGAGGGTGAACCAATGGCAAAGGAAGACCTTTCTCTCTGTCTCTCTCTCTCACTGTCCACTCTGCCTGTCCAAACAAACAAACAAAAAACAAAAAAAAGAGGTCACACTGGAAGGGTCTAGAAGGTTTGTGCTGTTCCAGTCAGCCACGTTGAGAGATTTGAAGTTGTCCTTTGGAAGCTTCCTAATGTTTGATTGTTGCCTGTAAGAATATCACTGCTTATAGCCTCAGACAGTTGACTGCAATGAAAAACAACTAAATACCAAAACAGTTATTTTCTATAACTTTTTTTAAAGTGAAGAAGGGAAGACGGCAGTGATACAGGGTTATTTCTAGGCTTATGTATCAGTCAGCAATTCTCTGACTCAGCTTCTGGCAGCTGTGACCAGGAACTTTTTTTTTTTTTCTTTTAACATTTATTTATTAAAGTTAGGGAGAGAGAAGAGAGAGAGAGAGAAAGAAATGTCTTCCATCTTCTGGTTCACTCCCCAGATGGCCACAATGGCCAGGGTCTGGCCAGGCCAAAGCCAGGAGCTTCTTCCAGTTTTCCCACATGGGTGGCAGGGGCCCAAAGATGGGCCAAACTTTCTCTGCTTTTCCCAGACTATTAGCAGGGAGCTGTATGGGAAGTGGAGCAGCCAGCAGTTGAACTGGTACCCATATGTGATGCCAGTGTCACAGGCGGCTGTTCTCACTGCTACACCATAGTGCTGGCCCCAACCATGAACTTTTGAAGTTTCCCTACAAAATGCCACTGATAAAACTGTGTTTTGTTTATGATTTTTTTTTTTATTTGACAGGTAGAGTTAGAGACAGAGAGTTAGAGACAGAGAGAAAGGTCTTCCTTCTGTTGGTTCACCCTCCAAATGGCTGCTACGGCTGGAGCTATGCCGATCCGAAGCCAGGAGCCAGGTGCTTCCTCCTGGTCTCCCATGTAGGTGCAGGGGCCCATGCACTTGGGCCATCCTCCACTGCCTTCTCGGGCCACAGCAGAGAGCTGGACTAGAAGAGGAGCAGCCAGAACTAGAACCCAGCGCCCATATGGGATGCCGGTGCTGCAGGCAGAGGATTAGCCAAGTGAGCCATGGCGCTGGCCTCTTGGTTATGATTTTTTAAAAAATATAAATGGGGGCCAGTGCTGTGGCGCAGTAGGTTAAGCCTCCACCTACAGTGCCAGCATCCTAAATGGACACCGGTTCTAGTCCCAGCTGCTCCTCTTCTGATCCAGCTCTCTGCTGTGGTCTGGGAAAGCAGTGAAAGATGATCTGGGAGCTTGAGCCTCTGCATTGGCGCGGGAGACCTGGAGGAAGCTCCTGGCTCCCGGCCTCAGACTGGCACAGCTCTTGCTCCCGGCCTCAGATTGACACAGCTCTGGCTTTGCGGCCAACAGGGGAGTGAACCAGCGGATGGAAGACCTTACTGTCTCTCCTTCTCACTGTAACACTACCTTTCAAATAAATAAATAAATCTTTTAAAATATTATAAATATTTGTTTTATTTTCATCTGCTTGAAAGGCAGAAAAGATATCTTCCATCTGGTAGTTCAGTCCCCAGATGCCTGCAACAGCCAGAGCCTGACCACACTGCAGCCAGGAGCCAGGAACTCCATCCAGGTATTGCACGTGGTTGGCAGAGGCCCAAGCACTTGAGCCGTCGTCTGCTGCCTCCCAGACTGCATTACAGGAAGTTTATCGGAAGCAGAGGAGGCGGGGCTCTAACCAGCGCTCCCACGTGGGATGTGAGTTCCCAAGCAGTGGTTTAACCTGCTATAATACCTTTCCAATCATGGTTTAAAATTTTATTTTTGGATTTATTATTTGAAAGGCAGACGGACAGAGGAGACACAGAGAGAAAGAGATCTTTCCACCAGTTGACTCCCTAAATGGCTACACACAGTAGCCCAGAGCTCTGTCCAGGTCTCCCATGCCAAAAGCAGAGCAGCCAGTCCTCAAGCTAGCGCTCCCATATGGGTTGCCAGTCAAGATTTTAATACATGGGTGGAGGGAATAAGTTGTCTTTTCTATCTACTCAAAAATGTTTTAGCAGGTTGAGTACTATTTTTTGTCACTGTTAAAATGCTACATTACGGGGGCTGGTGCTGTGGCACAGTGGGTGAACACCCTGGCCTGAAGCACTGGCATCCCATATGGACAGCAGTTCTAGTCCCGGCTGCTCCTCTTCTGATCCAGCTCTCTGCTCTGGCCTGGGAAAGCAGCAGAAGATGGCCCAAGTCCTTGGGCCCCTGCACCTGCATGGGAGACCCAGAAGAGGCTCCTGGCTCCTGGCTTCAGATCGGAGCAGCTCCAGCCGTTGCGGCCATCTCTCCCTCTCTCTCTCTGCCTCTCCTCTGTGTAACTCTGACTTTCAAATAAATAAATAAGTCTTTAAAAAAAAATGCTACATTACATGAGATGGTTCTTTAAGAGGAGTTTATTTCATTTTATTATTATTTTGGCTCACAAAAAAAAACTCCTTTAGGACTGGTATCATTCCTCTAATACTCATTAACCAGGCCAAATTGAAAACTGAGGCACTTAACCCTCAGTGATAATCAAGAAGATAGGTAGTAGTTTAAGTGCAAGCAAATATTTGGATGGATTAGATTGTAACTGATTCCCTTAACACTATGGTTTGGCCATGATTTTAGAAAATGTGCTTTTATTATTTCAAATTAAAAAAAAAAAAAAACCTGTTAGCCTGTCATTTTATTGTAGGTCTTGGCAAATTATAGCTTAGATTTGTTTTACAAAGCTCAGAACTTCTTTAAATATACTTTTTTATGTTTACAGCCTCTCTCTCCTTTTTAGGATTTATTTGTTTATTTGAAAAGCAGTTAGAGCAAGACCTTCCATCCACTGGTTCACTCCCCAGATGGCCGCAACAGCTGGAGCTGGGCCAGTCCAAAGCCAGGATGTAGGAGCTTCTCCTGGGTCTCCCAGATGGGTTCAGGGGCCCAAGTACTTGGGCCGTCCTTCACTGCTTTCCCAGGCCATTAGCAGGGAGCTGGATCCAAAGTGGAGCAGCCGGGACTCCAATTAGCAGCCGTATGGGATGCTGGCAGCACAGATGGCTGCTTTACCCACTACACCACAGTGCCAGCCCATACACTAGGCTCTTTGACCTTGAAAAACTCAAAATGTACCTTTTCCTGGTAGGAATTCGGTATTTAAATTGAAGAGAGAAAAATGTGCGTTGGGGGACCAGTGCCAAGGCTCGCTTGGTTAATCCTCTGCCTGCGGTGCCTCCATCCCAGATGGGAGACCCTGAAGAACTTCCTGGCTCCTGGCTTCGGATCGGTGCAGCCCTGGCCCTTGTGGCCAACTGGGGAGTGAACCAGCAGATGGAAGACCTCTCCCTCTCTCTCCTCTCTCTGTGTAACTCTTTCAAATAAATAAATAAATAAATCTTTTAAAAAATGGAAAAAGGATGTAAACAGGGATTTTCTTTTTTTTTTTTTAAGATTTATTTATTTATTTGAAAGAGTTACACAGAGAGAGGAGAGGCAGAAAGAGTGGGAGAGGTCTTCTAACTCAGATAGTCTTTTTTCTGCCTCATTGAGTCTATTCTTAAGGCTTTCTATCGTATTTTTTATTTGTTCTATGGAATTATTCATTTCCAATATTTCATTTTGATTTCTCTTTAAAATCTCAATTTCATGGGAAAAATTTTCATTCCTGCCATGTATTGATTTCTTTAGTTCATGAATTTGCTTCTGACTACTTCTTTTTTTTTTTTTTTTTTTATTTATTTATTTATTTATTTATTTTTGGACAGGCAGAGTGGACAGTGAGAGAGAGACAGAGAGAAAGGTCTTCCTTTGCCGTTGGTTCACCCTCCAATGGCCGCCGTGGCCGGCGCGCTGCAGCCGGCGCACCGCGCTGATCCAATGGCAGGAGCCAGGAGCCAGGTGCTTTTCCTGATCTCCCATGGGGTGCAGGGCCCAAGCACCTGGGCCATCCTCCACTGCCCTCCCTGGCCACAGCAGAGAGCTGGCCTGGAAGAGGGGCAACCGGGACAGAATCCGGCGCCCTGACCGGGACTAGAATCCGGTGTGCCGGCGCCGCTAGGCAGAGGATTAGCCTAGTGAGCCGCGGCGCCAGCCTTGCTTCTGACTACTTCTAAGTAATCCTACAATCAATTTTTTGAATTCCATTTCTGGAATTTCATCAATGTCTTCATCTTCACATTCTAGTAGTATTCTTTTGTGGGCTTGTGGTGTTCTTTTGGGGGCGTCATATTGTCTTCCTTATTCTTATTTCTTGAATTGCTGCGTTGATTATTAGGCATCTGTGGTGATACTTGTTGGTTGTTTTTTGTTTTTTCACCCCTGTGATG